ATTATTAATTGCTAGTTATATAAAATAGTTTTAATTAAGTTGTTGTGTTTTTTGCTAAAAAGAAGAGAACTTATTGTAGTTGTTGAATCGTTGTCCATCGGCCATTACACAATATCAAGGAGATGCTGCACCTGAGCCAGGGCCTGACAATCCCAATACTTCCAATGATCCTGAACATATATCTGCTCTGCTTGTTGAAGCATTATGGCATGGATGGAAAAAATACAAGAAAGTGTCTACAGAGTGGATTGCCCAACAAATGCCAGATACATAACCATGCTGATATAGATTTCCACATGTGTGTGCATAACTCACAGTTATAATTTAATAATAACTTATAATAACTTGTTATTTAATTTGTTTGTGCTTTTAGATCCATTTCGTAGTTTGTGTTTAAACTATAGTCAGTGTGGAAAAAATTTCATTTTTGCTGTAGATATCAGTTAAAATTTCAACGTTAGCCATTAAAGTGAAATTATATTAACATCCAATCTACAGTGTAATGTAATCCTTATAATGTAATAGCCCCATTAACTGTGAATACCATTATTATTATTATCACAACATGTTTACACATGGGACATCGGCAGAATATATAGTAATCACTATGACAACTGCAATCTGCTTGGTGTCTTGTGGTTACATATCTGCTGGATGGTGATCATTCCAGTTTCACTTTCATTTCACGATAACTCCCACAAATTAAAACCTACATAATATTCACTTTCTATTTAGTACAGGGAACATGAATATCATTTTAACAGTGAGATAGGGTTACTACCACTACCATTACATAAATATATTATGACAAAAACAATAATAACAACAACAATAATAATAATAAATTAACAATTGCAATTTGGTTGACAAGGTGCGTGTGTATATGTTCAGTTTATGATACATTCTTTGTTTCTTCAGCGACAAGTCTGTACATAAACTGGAAATACAGTGCATTGTTACGCTGTCTCTCTCCTTCTTTGACCTCTTCTCTTAAAGCCTCAATCTCTTGCCATAGCTAAGGAAGAGACAAGATGTACAAAGAGAAGACATGATGGAAGAAAATATGAATGCAATGTGACATGTACATAATAAATAAGATATAGTAAGAGCAGATAAGGGAAGGGTTTAGTGTACTGGACATACTCTTTCGTTTTCTTCTATAGTTTCCTTCAATGCAACTCTTCTCTTTTCTGCCATTACCTCCCAATAAACTGAAGGAGGTGGATCTGTCCATTATAAAGGAACAATGTCACCAAGAGAGAGAGAAAGAGAGAGAGAGGGAGAAGGAAGATAAAATAATATCACACAAGGAGAGTACATACCACTACAGCACAGCTGATAGTCTATGCTTTCAGGCTGTGGTTCAGTTCTATCAGGAAGCTCATCAGTTTGAGTACCCTTTAACGATAAACAATAAACCAAATTAAATTGAATGTCTTTATGATTAGTTACTATGATAAAATCCACCATTTTGTTTTATTCTGAGCATGTAAGCAAAATCCCTTACTAATACACTGCATGACAAATTTCCCAGTTATTATTGATTAATTTCCATTAATCAAGACTCCGCCCACCAAAAATACCTTTTCAACTGTTTTTATTGGCTCCGTCTGTGTGGCACTAGTCTCCTGTGGAACTCTCTCTATCTCAAAAACTCCTTCTTTATTTACAGTCACTGGTATTTCTGGTAGAAAAGGTGACATTGATCTTGCTATGCGGTCCGTCTTCTTTGCAATCTGTTGCTGTCGCTTTGGAGTTTTGCTTCCTCCAACTAGAACACTGGGATTGCTACAATGAGCCTGTAGTGGTGCTAGTGGCATCGGGTTCTCCTAAAAACCATCAAGTTTAAAAAACATGCTCTCCTCGTACTTTTGGTCCTTTCTTTTGTTTTCTCTTCCCTCCTCCTCCTCCAGTGGGTTTACGGGATTCAGTGGCATCCTTTAAGCCAGAGATACTCTTTGCAGACCTTCTCCTGCTCATTCTTTGTCCAGAAACCAGCAGTGAGTGTCCGAGTTGAGGAGCTGTTTTTCACTTTTTCTTCGCGCCAAATGAAAACAAACTTGTTGGGCGGGGCTTACTACTACGCATGCGCACACTATTCTCCCGCAAAAAAATAACAATGATTTCATTATTTTTTTTATTGAAAAATAAATTAAAATTACATCAACAAAACTCTACTGTCCATACTTATCAATTTTAAGCGTTGGAGGGAGGGCAGTCACCCTGTCCCTCCAAGGCTTCTCCACCAGCACCATCTCCCCACAGTCCAGCACTCCGGCATAAACAATATCACGGTAATCCTTAACACAATGACTAGACAACTCTTTCATACCTAAAGACCGCTTCTTTCCAATCACCTCCTCCTCCTCTTTGTCCTCCTTATGCTTCCCTTTTGCTTCATATCTAACAAACAATAGTCTATCCCAATCATATATCATACACAGGCCATGAAGAGTAGGAAATGTGTTGAGACCTAGTGTCATACTTAGTCCCTTCCTTGAGCAAACCCGCATAGCTATATCCTTCAAGAAAGGTCTACCTAAACCCTTTAGCTCTGATTTCTTGAGGTTGAACTTGTAGAATTCCCGATCCCCACTAGTAAAGATAAGGAGGGACTCGGACGAGGCAGTGAATGAGAGAGACGGAGGGAAGGTGTTGTCAAATCGAGGCAGTGTAGCAAAGAGTGTCCCATTTATTGTATCGAATATCAGTACACGGTATTTCTCACTCATTGCCAGTAAGTACTTACCGTCAGGACTATACTTAAGTTTAATGTATGATCTGATGGACATCTTTTTCTTTCTTATTTCCATGTCAGTGAATATAACACTATCCTTAGTCACTGGAGAAGGAACTGATGCTATTTTAATTCCACCATCAGACGGACATATAGCAATACTAGTGTTACTATTAATAGAGTTGTTGTTACTAAATATAGCAACGGCTCGTGATGGCAGAAACTGAGTAGAGATACAGGTGACCTTTGGCTCCAAGGAATACACCCAGATCTTCTCGGGATCAGAAAAAGCAACTAGTTTCCCGTCATCAGATATTCCTGAACATACAATGTGCTGGGCCGATGGTGACTTTATTTCTAATAGAAGGATGGGTAGGCCGCTAGCTTTGAATAGATCAGACTCCATTTCTTTATGAGTGATAAGACCACTCTTAGCCAATGCGTCTTTATCAGGAGAGCAGACAGTAGAAGATGAGTGATCAGTAGAAACAGACTGAGGTGTTATCTTCCATAGTTTTAACGAGCGATTGTCGCAAAACAGAAGAATATTACCTCGCGGTGCTAACTGGAATCGCTCGTTCCAACTTGCAAATGGTGACTGCCTCAAACTCATTTCCTTCTCAAACTCCTCCACTTTATTGAAGCAGAGAACAGTGTCCACACCCCCAGAACTAAGGACTCCATTCCTTGACACAGCCAGAGATCGAACATCATGAGTGTGTGGGCGTACGTCACATGCCTGCACCCAAAAGTAACCCCCGGCCTCACCTTTCCCTCTCTTCTCCACTCTCTTCAGTCGGACAATCTTGTGATCGACTCCGGCAGCAAAAAGTATATCCTCTTCACTATTAACTGCTATTGTTAGCAGGTCGGCATTATGGAGGCTAAAAGATTGCTTAAGAGTCCCGTACTTGCTGTTCCAGAAACTGATGCTACCCAGAGAAGAACCACTAACTATCGTATCATCACTTAAAAACTTTACGCTCCAGACAAGAGTATTCTCCTCATTGCTGTTCTTGTCCATTGTGATACGGAGGATTGATCTATTGGTCTCAGTGTCGAGGACTCTTAAGGTACTATCAGCACATCCCATGGCAATACGTGGGGCCGTGGGGTGCCAGGAGAGAGAGAGAATCCGCCCATCTTGTTTGACCAGAGTACGGGAGTAGATCAAAGCATCGTAACTCAAATCATAAAGACAAACCTGTAATAATAAAATTATAAATAAAAAATGGCTAAAATGCAAAGCCATGATTTAATGCAATACATTTGGTTAATCATAACGCTATGATGAGCTTACTTCTCCATTTTCACATCCAACAACAAGACTAGACCCATCACTATTAATATCCATAGACCAGATTGGAGTAGAGCCTTTACTAACGACTGACTGAACTGGGAGCAACGAATTAACCCTCCACTCATTAATAGTACCTAATGTCAACATTAGAGTTTTATTATTACTATCATTAAAACCACATTGAATGTTCCTTTAATGCAATTTTAAAATTGCAATAAATATAGCGATTTTCCTCACACTATGCCACACCTCTAATTAATCAAAAATATTAACCACACCCAATTAATTAAATATTAACTACACCCCAATTAATTAACTACCTGATAGATCAGCTGAGAAAAGTCTATCCCCGGACCATTTTAAAGACTCGATCGAGATCCCTTCTCTTCCCGGTATAGTGTGACAGTAACAGAAATCTTTATGAGTCCCAATGTAGCGCCATATCTCAATTGAGGCATCAGACCTGCTCACAGCTAGCCTGGGAAAGTCGAGAGAGGAGTCAAACGCCAAGGAAGTGATGGCTTTGGGCTTCAGATCAATAAATCTCAATCTATGAACGTCCATGACTGCTTCTGAGAATTATAAAAGAGAAAAAACTGAGGAAGATCTATGCTATGGAGGAGTCCACGTGGACGGAGTAAGCTGTCTCGTAGAGGTGGGCGATACGATACCAAAGTACTCATATATCCGATACCAGGCCTCCGATACCAAGTACTCGATACCAAATCCTGGTATCGAGTAGTGAGTAACCACGCCCTACCACACCTATTTTTGACGTCATAATTATGATCACGCCCTTTAATAATTACAAAATGGCGGCTTGTTCTCTTCATTTTTATTAATAACTAATTATAACTTATATGCGCATGCGCAGTAGCTGACTACTCATTCACTACTCGATACCATCGATACTGAGACTCAGACTACTTGGTATCGGTATCGATTCAAAAATTTCTGGTATCGCCCACCTCTACTGTCTCGTACACCTCCGTAAAGTAGTCAAAATGGCAGAAAAGTCACCAGAGCTGGAGGTTGCTCCTTCAGAGGAGGCTGTTGCTCAAACGCAGAGACTAAAAGCTGCCCTCCATTATTCAATTGGTAAAACTTATGAAGAGATAGCTAGTGACCATGGCATGAAAGTCAGCAGAGAAATGATGGCAGCAGTTACAGAAATGGTTTACGAACAGTGTCGTCTTGTCTCGCATGATCTTGAATTATTTGCAAAGTAATTGCAAAAGAGAGAAAGCTATGATATATTTTAAAGATACACTGTTCCTTAGGCATGCAAAGAGAACGACAGTCAATACAGATGATGTGCTCTTAATGTGTAGACGGAATCCTTCACTGATGAAGATAATGAGAGAAGAAAATGAAAAATTAAAGAGTTTGAAGGAACAGGGGAAAGAAAAGGCTATTACTGGAGAAAAAAGAAAAGGAGGAAGAGTAAAGAAGAAAGAATTACCGATAATTTTAGACGACGACGATGAAGATGATTGATTTTGTTTATCCACGTTTTTGCACGTGGGCAGTTTACTTAGCCACGCCCACAATATAGCCACCTGTTAACACGTGTCTCTACAACTTTAATTTTTAATAAACACACCCATAACCTTTTTGGTTCTTGCACGTGCTGTAAAGGCTAAACCTTTTGTTTGAAGTGATGGTAAGAAAGCTCAAAGGAAAGGAGAAGAAGGAGACCGGAGAACAAAAGAGACAAAGAAGAACAGAAATAAGAGCTGCTAGAGAAAAACTTACCACAGTAGTTATCCCTGTTCTGGTGGGTGTGGTCATCCTTATTGCTTTCATCTTCTGGTTTGCTTCAAGATAATTCATAGAAAATGGAGGATCCTCGTTTTTCTCACATTGCTACTGATCCTCGTTTCAAAGTAATTCATGATAGGAACTCAAATTTAGTCAAATAACTGGACACTGATAATTATTATAAATAATATTATTATTCTTTAATTATTTTTCATTTTTTCACCGTTTTAAGTCTTTCTTCATTTCGTAATTGATTACATATTTTGATATTTTTTGTAAAAAAATTATTTAAACAATTTTCAAAAGGCCAGCATGCATACATGTACATATTATACCATAATATGTATTAATATTAATTAATATTATAATTATGAGAAATACTTTTATTTTTTTCATAGGCAGTTCCACGTAAGAAGCGCAAAGTGACTGTTGATTCTCGTTTTAAATCAATGTTTACTGACAAACGCTTTCAAGTCAAATGTAAGCAGATATCTGTAGCTTATAAATTGATGTTTTAAATTTCAAAAAATTCAGATAAAACTGACAAAAGAGGCTCGGCAATGCAAGAATCATCTTCTGAAAATCTTAGAAAATATTACGATATTTCAACAGGTTTTGTTAATTAGTGCTCTCTTTATAAATGTACATTATTTTATTGTGTGTATGTTATTATTGCAGCTGATGATGATGGTAATAGCTTAGAGGAAAAGGTGAAGGAAAAAGAAAATGAAATAGAAGGCAATGTAGAGGAGGAAGAAGGAGATAATGATGACATTAATGAAGAACAAGAAGATGAAAATGACTCTGAAGAAAGAGAGAAAGAAGAATTTGATGAAGATGAGAGTGAGAGTGACATTGAAAGTGATGCCTCATCAACTGATATTGATGATGATGACTTGCTCAATACACTAACAAAAGATGGAGTGAGATTTAGTTATACTTGTTCATGTACATAATACCCGTTTGACTTGTTTTTCAGGTATTTTCTCAGTGGCTGGATGAGACTGAGGCTGTGCCACAATCAGAATCAACTGGTTACAGACTAGCATTATGCAGTATGAACTGGGACAGAGTCAATGCAGTGGATCTGTATGGTAAGATTATATAACCTTATGTACAGTGTTAATAGGGAAACCTTTATGACCCATTCATGGTCTTTAGCCAACTTTAAGGACTTTTAAAATTCGTAAAAAATCCAATTTTGATCGGAATCAGCTCAAACTTTCTACACAACATAAGAACATGTATATGCATCAGGGAATATCATAAAAATTGAGAATTCTCTACTTTTCATTTTTGGCAAAATTTGGCCCGAGACCATGTACTATAGTACAGGGACTTTGGCCCGATTTTGGAGAAACTTTGAAAATTCATAAAAAATCCAATTTTGATTGGAATCAGCTCAAACTTTCTACACAACATAAGAACATGTATATGTATCAGGAAATATTATAAAATTGGAGAATTCTCTACTTTTCAATTTTGGCGAAATTTGGCCCGAGACCATGTACTATAGTACAGGGAATTTGGCTTGATTTTGGAGCAACTTTAAAAATTTAAATTTTAACTTTCTTGACTCTGTTACCTCCACCCCTTCTCTTCTTAATGTAGTTCTCTTCAATTCTTTCAAGCCGACAGTTGGCATGGTGAAATCTGTCACTATCTATCCTAGTGATTTCGGTCAGGAGAGACTGAGAGAAGAAGAGACTCATGGACCCACAGAACTAGTGAAGACTCATCAGTCTTGCCCAGAGGAGGAAAATGATCCAACACTCTCTGAGGTTGTAAAACTATGTAGAACTATTATGATTGTAATGAAATTCTTTTTTTTATTTTAGGACCCAGGCAGTTCTGTCTATCACGAGAAGTTACGTGAATATCAGTTAAAGAGACTCTCCTACTATTACGCAATAATTGAATGCGATTCCGCTGGTATGTCATAATGGGCGGGGCTTTTATTTAAGTTTTTATTGCCATAGCAACCGCGGAACATATATACGAGGAATGTGATGGACTTGAACTTGAGCTAAGTTCTAGTACATTGGATCTAAGGTGTGAAACTCCTCCCACTTTTTACATGTACATGTTTTTTAGATTTGTTCCTGATGACATGACTTTTACCGACAGCAAGCCGTCGTCAATAGCAACCGAATCGTCACTAACTAAAGACTATGAGCCACCAGAGTAAGACCTTGTAGTATCCTGAAGTATCCTGAGATAACCTGACTTGTAGGTTCATGACTAGCGCTCTCCAGCAGTCAAAAGTTCAGCTGACGTGGGACGAGACTAACCCGGCCCGCTTGAAGAAAACAATGAGACAGTATGAGAGAGAGAAGGAGAGAGAGGGAGAAATTTGGGACATGTACTATATGTACTATTAACTTAGTATTTTCAGTTGTAAATTTGTTAATTTGTGTTCCATTATCTATTCTTTTTTTTTTTCTTTTTTCAGACACAATAAAGAGGATCTTAGTAACATTGATTTTGATACATTCCTTGGCTCTTCATCAGATGATGAACAGGAATCATCAAAAGAAGACTCCATTAAGAAATACAGAGTATGTTTATGGGATGTAAAGCTGCTGTCATTTTATTTTGAATTTCAAAATGATTTGATTCTATAGTCATTATTGGGTCTTCAAGATAATGGAAATGACACGAAGAAGGAGAAGGAAGAGGAGGAGGAGCTTGAAATAACATGGAATATAGGTATGGCAGTATGTACTCTAAAGTATGTACATTATAATTTATTTCTTATACTCCGAAGGTTTAAAAGAAGGCAAGGAGATAAGCAATGAAAAAGGTAAGATATCATTAATCACTAATCCTGATCTTTGTTATCATGATTTACTATAGATGTTATGCCCCTCAATGATGTAAGTTTTATCTGTTGCTAATCGTGATAGTTACATATTTATTTAAGGATAAAGATAAAGGATTTGATGATCCTTTCTTCTCTGACAAGGTATTGTAATGGAGAAGGTATTTATGAGTCACTTTTTGAGGTAGAAATCAATGAAAAGGAAGAAGAAGAAGCTAGATCCAGAAGAGGAGAAGAGGATTCAAAAAGAGAAAGTAAGCATATTACTTCTGCATAATATTATTTTTAATTGTCTGTTATTTTTTTAAGGAAGAGCTTGAGCTCCTTGTCCTCTCTGATACAGAAGACACAAGAGAGCACTTTAGCCTCAAGCAGATAATGAAGGAAGAGAAGAAAGAGAGTGCTAAACTGAAGAGACGAAAAAGAAAAGAGAAGACCAAGGTAGATCCAGAATCAAATAATTTAATTTTTTTGTAGGAATCATCTGCTGTCAGTAATTTTGAAGTTGATCTCCATGATCCAAGATTCTCTGCTTTATACAAGTCACATCACTATGCTATTGAGCCATCAAGCCAGCAATACAAGTACTACTACTCATCATTATCATTTAATGATAGGGGAATCCCCTTCAATCTGTGTGTAGGGCAACTAAAGGTATGAAGAAGCTGTTGAATGAGAGACAAAAAAGAAGAAAAATTGATACAGAAGAAGTTACTGAGAATATTGAACATCAAAAACCAGATATGTCTCTCCCCTCTTCATCAAAGTGAGGGATTCTATCAGTAATGGCAGCAATAATTTCTTCTTCTTTGTGTAGCCTCCAAACATTAGTGAAATCTGTCAAATCAAAAGCAGACTCGTTAAAGAAAAGAAAGCAAATATTAGTGAAGAACAGAAAGATTCATCGAAAATGACACTAAATTTTTGTAAACTTTTGTTATTAGAACAATAATAATTTGCTGTTTTCTAGTACTGATAGTTCATGTGAGTCCTTATATCGTCTAGTAGCTCGTTAAGCTCTAAGTCATCAAACCTACCTTGCAAACTGCAAGTGGAAATTAATAAATCATTGAGAGCATGAAGTACATGTATTACTGCTGTTACCTTGGTAGCAAGGTTTTCGCTTCGTCAGCATCTGCTGGTGCCAAGTTTGCAAGACAAGCGACTTCAAATTTGTGTAGTTTGTGTTTCTGTAGCGCTCTTTAAATAGAATAGAACAGGATTTTATTGATACCTCAATTAATAATGTCTTACCCTCTTATGGCACTGATTGTTTCTCTACTGTTGTACTTGCTGAACGTCTGACAATAGTCAAGTGTCTTTGTAAATACCTGGAGGGGTAATGCATCGCGTGATCCACCTACAATATAACTTACCTCAGAGAGATCTTGATCATCATCCTGTGATTCATGTTGTGCTTTTCTGTGCTCAAGAAGCATCTTTACTTCAGATACGAGAAGAGCATCAGCCGTATCGAAATCTAAAAGGAAATATATCACATTATCGATGCATAACAGACCCAACCTTTGCCAAATCTCAACTCTGTTGCATCTTCTTGTAACTCTTCTGCCTCTGGTTTGGCGGCCATTTTGTGGGTTAATTATAGCTACGCCCCGCCCTCATAAGGGTGTGGTGTTACACCCACTTAATTTTTTGGCTCAGGGCTTGAACAATGAGGACTGTCTATAAGTGGCTCCTTTTTGTTATACTCATAGTTGCACTGATTTGTAGTTTTGGTGAGATATTATTATCCATGGATTAAATGAATTTTAGTTATTTTATGTGCAGGTGGGGTTTTCAACCAAATCAAATCAAAGATCACTGAGGATAGAAAAGAGAGAAATAAAGGAGACAATAGAGAGAGCCCGAGATCAGAGTTAGGGCCCAGGAGACTGGGAGAACTTAACAGAATAACGAAGGATTACTGTCATAGGTCTTCGCCAAGTGGTGAAGAAGGAATACTAAGGGATAACACTAATAATAGATACAAACTAGTCCAGGCTCATGCTTTATTCCGCCATGGCGACAGGACTTCGGAATCCCCTCTCCTCCAGTACCTACCACCTAACGATATTGAGTGTGGGTTGATGGACAGTTCTTTGGAATGGCGCAAGCTGAGGTCTATTAAACTAAAGCCACACCCATCAAAAACAATTGTCCGTAATAACAAACTGAGGCTGTTTCGTGGCTACAAGAGTCAGCCGTGTCAAAAAGGTCACTTAACGTTCGTTGGGTTCCAGCAGCACAGCTCTCTTGGTTTGTACTTCCAGTCTCGTTATAAAGATCTCGTCTCTGACAAATCCGATAAGATTTTTGTCCAATCGACAGACATGCCTAGAACCATACACAGCTCTGCTGGGTTTTTGGTTGGATTTTATTCGCAGAAGAAAAAGGTCCCACATCAAGCTGCTATTCATGTCTCTCGGGGTATCCTCCTTGGTGCTCCTCCCCCTAAAGTCCATAGGTATTACCCCTATTGTGAAAACCTTTACAACATACGCAGACAGGAGTACTTAACGAGTTCGCAGTATAGGCGAATCAAGTGGAATACCACTCAGACAGCAAAGAAGCTCTTAAAAGCTCTTCATTTGAACGAGAACTTATCGTCCTCCATTACTGAAGTATACGATGCTTTTTGGCCATTGCTCTGCCACAAAAAACCCAACCCTTGTGTTGCTTATGCCTGCCTTAACGACTCGGTTCTTATTGAAGGAGCTCGTTCTGCTCATCTTCAATATGCTAACAAAGATCCAAGCAATTACTCTATCCTTGCCTCCCAACCATATCTCTACCACACTGTTCTACACAGCATGGACTCGGCTATCACGAGTATATCAAAAGGATCTGAAAAGTACATGCGGCTGTCTCTTTCATTCGGCCATGATTCCAATATAGCCCCACTACTTGCTACTATCGGATGGAAGCTGGACTATTGGCCATCATATGCTTCTAGGGTTGTCATGGAGTTATGGAAGGACACAAGCAAGACTCCAACTAGCGAGGATGATTATTATGTCCGCGTTTTGTTTAATGGTAGAGTCATTAGTGACAAGCTACCGTTTGGAGATGAGAACCAATTTACTGCTGGGAAGCAACTCTTGAAATATAACGTATGGAAGAACTATCTTACAACTGGACCCTATAGAGAGATAACTTCTTACATTAGGCACTGTAGGACTAGTCCTCCTTGATTTTAATTTCAATTGTTATTGTTATCACTGAAAATAATCACAACTTAATTTGAAATTTCTCTTAAAATGTCTAATTATAATGCGTGGGAGTGCTTGTTGGAGGTGTTGAGGATTTGAAGCTATCAATTGCGAGAAACCTTTTCTCTCTCTCTCTTCTCTTCATGTTGTGATTTTATGTAGCGCTTGGTTTCTGGATCATTAGTGATTGCTATCTCTTTAGTGCCAGCACTGCAGTTTCTATGGTGACGTTGTATACTGTTTCTGTTTGATCAGATCAGATATCACTCAGTCCTGATGAGCCTTTTGAAAAGTTGGGAAGAAGCCGCTAGAATAGAGTGTGGCTACTCTTCGTCTCCAAACTACGAAGCAATACGGTCTATAGTAGCAACTGAGAACCAGTAAGAGTGTTGGTGTTACTTTCTCATAATTTCAGGCTTCCACACTCACTGCATGTATGATAGGTCTGAGGCCAATAGCTCTTTACATCTCAATGGAAATCAAGCATCACTGAGAGAGAAAAGGCTAAATGATCAAGTAAAATGAATATGATGCTAGCTTGTATAATTTTATCATCTCTCGTAGGACGTTGAAGTCCTCAGTCATTGCCTCATTGATGGCAGTGTAATACTCCTTAGTCTTGTTCTAAGTTATAACAGGATCACTGATAAAGGAGTGGAGCACATTGCCCAGTACATTAAAGTAAATCCTTCGTAGTTTCTTTTGTGTGCATAATCCTGACAATATCATAGGAAGTTAAATGTCCATTGCAGCATCTTGACCTTTCATACAATGACATTTCTGTTGATGGTATAGCTCTCATTGCTGATGCTTTGCAGGTGCTTTTCAATCCCCCCACTGCTATTATAACTTTAAACTTTGTCACGTAGTTCAATACATCGCTGCAACATGTTTCGCTGGATGGTAACCTCCTTGAGAAAAAGGGAGGCCTGGATTTGGCTGCCATGTTACAAGTCAATACTACTCTCACTCACCTAACCCTCTCAAACACTCACCTACACACTGACTGTATCATTGCCATGGCGACTGTCCTTCATGGCAACCAAACCATCCAATGCCTTGATCTTTCAAGGCCATTGGTTCATAGCTGCTTAGAAGAGTCAACAATTCACATAAGCAAAATGTTAAAGGTATTATTATTATTATTGCTAAAGTTTTATGAGCTGGCTCATTGTTATAGATTAGCTGTACTCTTAAAGAGATTCATCTTTCTAAGCATGATATGACTGATACTGGAGTTAAGTGGATGGCAACGTGTCTAATGGAGAATCCAAACTCATCACTAACACACTTAGACCTGAGCTGGTAATCATTAATTCATTACTTGCTTTATTATTCCTACTTGCAATTGTAATATTTTATAGTAACAAGCTTTCCAGAGATGGTGCTTCACATATTGCAGAATTCCTCCTTACAAACCCACCACTTGAAGTCCTTAACCTAAGTTGTAATAGGATCGAGTCTGAGGGTCTCATTTCGCTCAGTAATGCACTCCAGTCTGGCAATAACAGGCTGAAAAGGTAAACCCTTTGTGACTAGAGAATAATAATTATTATGACTATTTTTTGTTTATTGTGATAGTTTGTTAGTCATTAGTAATGATATTCATGATGCTGGCCTCCTGGCTGTTGCAAATCTGATGCAAGTAAACAGTGTCTTATCCCAGCTCCATATATGGGGTAATAAGTGGACAACACCAACTTGTGATGTAAGCCAGCCAAAAATGCTACTTGTTAATATTTTATTTATTTGTAATCGTCCAGGCTTTTAGGGAGCTACTTAAAACAGGACGGCTGCAACCAGGAGACATTGATGTCAATTTCTATGAAGTAGACGGAGTCACACTTTTAGCTAGAACTCTTCAGGAAGCTTTATAAATTATAATAAACATTAAATTAATTATCAACACAGAAAATAATGTGAAGCCTTTTAATTTTAGTTTAGGCATGGTTATGGCTTCTCACTTGACACTGCACAAAAATAAACAATTCTCCGTTCACTTCCGCGCACTTCATCAATGCGGTAGTAGAGATGTCAGCTCAGTTCTTGTTGCTGTGCAGTGTACTAGCCCTGCTAGCTCTCACGACCAGCGTGAACCATTGGAAACTACAGGACGGGGTCATCAGACCCGTCAAAGGAAAGTGCATTATCACAGACAAACTACCATCTACAGATGAAGAGGAGAACGGCTCTGAAGTTGATGAAGGAGAGAGAAAGGACATTATATATGATAAGGAACTGTATCTCTTGATGACTCAATCAAAAAAGAGTAAGGGAGGACGTGTTGAGTGTTGAAAAAATGATAAACGTTTATGTTTATGAAGCCTAACAAATTTAAAGCCCTTTTAATTTGTGGTGGGTAGGGCTGGGGTCTATAGCTATGAATATTAATTAGGTCCATTGCAATACTTTGTATCGTGGGCATAAGGAATGATGACATACAACATAAAATTTGTAATACTGCTATAATATGATACTCTATTTTTTAAATTTTACATGAATAGGTCAGCATTTTATCCCACGTCTAGTTCGTGTTACTCCTCACAATCTTGAGGAGCCTCTACTGAAGGAAGGAGGGCTGGTAGGAGGGGCCGGAGGATCCAATAATAATAAATTAAAGTTACAGATAACACAGCACAAGGCAGGTAGCTCCTCTTCAAATACTAAGAGCAAGAAGAAGAAAGAGACAAAAGACAAGAGAGAGTAAGTTATCATTAATAAGTCCAACCATCAAATTCTTCTTTGCCTGTTACAACTTACACCATACCAAGACTACCAACTATGTGTTTGGAATTTAGTGACATTTTAAATACATGTGCATGTACATGTATGATGTGAATTTGTAGTATTCATTTAAAGTATTTCATTTATAGTACTACACTACTATAGTTGTATACCTTAGTGTAGTCTAGTATACTCTTAGATACTCTTAGTATACAATGTACTCTTTATATACTCTTAGTATATTCTTAATATACTCTTAGTATACTCTTAATTTACTTTATTACCAGAGTTCAGTGAGTACTCGTGCTATTACAACTGTTCTTATGTTGTGTAGAAAGTTTGAGCTGATTTCGATCAAAATTAGATTTTTTGCGAATTTTTAAAGTTGCTCCAAATGCCATGTACTGTATTGTAGTGCTTGTCAGCTCATGAAGCTCACTTAGTATACTTTGTAGGAATCACTGGTCTGTACAATTAACATCTACATCTACATGTACATGTATGATTAACATGTACATGTATATAGCTAGGAATTATGAAATATTTATTAATATTTCTGAATACTTTGCATACTGTATTATCAGTTTATATTCTCTTTTAGTCTCTCAAGTGTATCTCTAACCTGCGGTGAGCCAGTGGAGTCTACACCTTATGATTTCCTGGAAGGTGTGGCTCGTCGTGATCAGTTCTCGATACACCCAGAGCCTGATGTAGCGATGGTTTTTAAAAAGACGACAGATGACCAGTCGGTTGATCTAGTTGAAGTTGAGAAACTGTTGAAGAAACTCTTGAATGAAGTTAGTATGTACAATGTACATGTACATTAATCTCTTTATTATACTGGAACTGTAGGGGAAGTGGAGAGAATGAGTAAATGTATGTATGTGATGTTTCTTTATAATAAAATTAGTTCTTTTTGTATTATGCTTTGTCTTAAATGTTTGCTGTTGTACAAGTATAGACCATTTGTTCTTTTTTGTCATGTGATGTCCATCTATATAGTTCATATACATGTCACTTTTAGCTACGACTGTAATGCAACTTTATCATTCATGAAATTAGTTCATTATTTTATTTACAGAATTCTAATGATCCTCAAGTCTTCAATCAGGTTGGCAACTTGTGGCGAGTGAAAGGTAACACTCTCCTGGCCATAGAGTGTTTCCGGAAGGCTCTCTCAGTCTCTCCCAATGACCCTGACGCCCTCATTAACATGGCACGGACACTCTATAATCTCAAGTTCATAGACGATACACTTTTCCTAACCAAGCTATCCCTCCATCATAAATTCCCAAAGTCAGAAACCTGGCTCCAGCACTATACACTTGGTGAGGCTTACAAAGTCACTAAAAAGTATGAAACTGCTGCTGCTTACTTTAAGAAAGCTCTAGAACTGAACCCGAGTCTCAGCAGGGCGGAGGCTCATCTGAGAGACCTTGAGAGACAGAGCAGTCTTACCAACTTCTACACAGTCATCATCATTCTATTCTTAGTCTCTTTTGTTATCATTATTATATCTTATCTAATTTATGTAAGAAATTAAATGTAGAATAATTATAATACTGATCATTATCACCATCATCATTGCTTTGTTTTTTTAATTTTTATCTTTATTATCATTATTAATTATTTTACTGATTATAGTTACTAAACTATGTGGGAGTAGGTTGGCATTTGGCCTGGTTGCATATGGCCAATTGCCAACATAATTAATACGGTGCATTCATAATTTAATCACGTGATTTAACATGGCTCAATTCACCAAAGAAAGCTTTGTTCCTGCTACTAAAGAATATGAAGTCTTACAGAGAAATGCTAGCAAACTTCAACGGGCAATCTCTCATCCAAATTTGTTGTCAATGGATTTGTTTTCAAAAAATCTTATTCCTTTTCAAATCCTTCAAAAGGTCAGTGCTGCTGTCCACATATCTGATGCTCTAAACATGGAGCTTGTCGTTTACTTACTTCAAGCAGTGGTCACTGATCCTAACAACTTTCACAAGCTCCTTGAAGTACTAGAGAATCATCCTCCATTTCTGACGGCTGTTGCTAAAGATATGAAAGAAGAATATCATGCAGGTATCATGATACTGAACTCTGTGCATCTTAAGCCCAACATCCACTAGGCAACTTTGTTGAAATCAACAGAAATTTTGTTGATAAAGAAGTAGAACACTGTTCTACTTTTGGCACTGTTCTACTTTTGGCAACAAAGTTGACATACATCAAAGTAACCACAAAGTTGCTTTCAAAAAAGTTGCCATAGTGGATGTTGGACTCTAATGTATTAATAACATTAGTCCATGTGTAGAAATATCATGCCAAGTTGAGTCTCAAGTTCAGTTACCTGATAAAAGCAAAACTTTGAAAGGCAATGAACAACAGAGATGTAAGGCATTAGTTACATGCATGTACAAAGTAAAGTATACTATTATATATGTTTTGTAGCAATCAATGTTGGCAGTAGTATGCGTCAGGATTTTGTGGATTTACGAGGAAAGCTGGGAGAATTGGTGTATGATATACAGAAAAAAGTCGAAGAGGCTCATATCGACATTAATGATGTGAAAGATTTTGTCAGTTTATATGACCCCGATGAAAAATGTAATTACCAATTACGGGAAGCAAAAGACATGTCAGAAGTATTTTTCATAGTTCGCACCCAGCTTTGCTCTCTTTGCAATTGTTCCATATTGCAAAAGCTTGCTCAGAAGTTTAGCCTTCCAGGTGGGGATGAAATCATTCAAGAATATGAGTTTGCAAAGGAAAATTATCGAAGGCTGCTGACTAGCTCATCTTTTGCAGACAAATTGCGAAAAGAGAGTCAATTTCCATCAAATGCAAAGGGTATTATCATTTTGTGGTTGAGGTTGCCATCAGTCAAGAGCCTGACTGTCTTTGAGTTTGAAAATATCATCAAAAAAGTGTTCTCTGAGCTTTACTGTTACATCCACCTTCTTAAAGTTGAGCCAGGTTCAATCGTTGCTACATTGTGTGGTCCTGAAAGAGTGACAGGAGAACTAATAGCACTGGCAAAGAAGAGCATAGCATATCTTAGGGATATTGGAGTGACCTGGTTAACAATTGGAGACACTTTAATTATCAATGACATTGAAGACACTGAAGAGGTATACGAAACATTAATTATTATTATTTTAATATTATTAATTATTCTGATTAGGTATCTCAGGTTGCCATTGAACAAGACAAGCGCCCTTCCTCCAGTCCTAATAAGGTAGTTCAGATATCAGCACTATACTATTAGTTTACGTAGCACATCATTTTAGGTGGAAAATATTTCGGACAATGTTGTTGATAATCTGCCTAGTAAGTGTAGTACAGATTCTGGTGCCATTAAATTATTGCAATATCATCATTCATTAATGTACAGGTTCATCAGTTGGAGCAGTTACTGATACAGTGCCTCAGTTAAGTTATTCATCAGTAATAGATGATGGAGGAGATGATACTGATCAAGGAAGAGGAAGTGATTCAGCTACTCCAATGTTTGACCGAACATGGCGTCACTATCCTGTCACATCATTGACATCAAGAGAAGTAATGATTATTGGATCATTTGGTGATCATAATAATTGGCTGGAGCAACAGTTAGTAAATAATGATAGTAATTAATAATGTTGTTTATTATTAACAGACACATTGTATCACCAAAAAAACTTACAACAGAGTTATCAGATGAATGGAGGAAAGAAGAAATTGAGAGAATTGCAGACCTGTATAGTAAAGATCACAAATGTCACATTAAGCCAGCCCATTATGATCTACCAGGAGGTGAACACACTAAAGAATATTACATGGAAGCAATCAAACAACTTTTTATTAACTGCAAACAGGAAGGAGGTATGAGCAAGACTTCGCTAATGACTAACATTAATGCTTCTTGTTATAGCTATTCTCTATTACACTGGTCATGGAGAGAAAGACACTGGTAACTGGTGCTTTAAAGATGGAGTAATATCATTCAATGATATCTTTGAATTATACATAAACCATTTTAAAGGGAAGCCATTAACAGTAACATCAGATTGCAGTTATTCTGGTAACTGGATCAATGAATGCAGTAAGAAGTTAGATGAGATGAATGTTCCATCATGTGGACACCACACAAGAGAGCAAGGGCTGTTGTTAAAGATATATACCTCTTGTCAACCAAATGAAGAGGCTACTGCATTATGCTATGTTAATGATGAAGCTGTTGAGTACAGTGAAGCAGATAAGGCAGTGATATATTGGTTTGGTAAAACACTATCATCAGGACAGACAACAATGCATATTGACTTTAGATACATTCATTGTAGTAAACCAGCTGATGAACTTTGTGATTTTTGCACTTGGAATGATCGCGTGATTAAGAGGCATAGAGGCCATGTAGAGCCACCAGAAATTAGTGATGACAAACAGAAAAGTAAATATTTCTGAACAAACATTTTACATTAATATTGCATAATACTGATTATTCTCTTCTTTTAGATTATGGTAGTGATATGAGCAGTGGATCAGAAGAGATTGCACAAGTGCAGAAAAAGTTGATTGAGGAGAAAAAAATTATTACTGGTTAGTGTATCATCAGTACATAATATTATATATGAGGATGTATTCTATTGTTGTAGAAGATAAGCAACGTAAAATCAAATTTGCTGATATAACTGAACTCTTAAAAGAAAAGGAGGAGCAATATTTGAAGGAGAAACAAATCATTATTGGTTAGCTAACTATGCACACAGACTGCATTAGATGATTATCAGTATCTATAGATGACAATAAAAAAGCCAAACTTACATCACAAGTAGAGGAACGATCACAGAATGAAAAACAAATCATTATTGGTTAGTCTATCATCATAATTATAGATATTCTATTATTTTATAGACCTTAGAGCTAAAGTGTCTGATAATGAATTGTATACAACCAAACTAATAAGGAAGAAGTCGCAACTACAAGAGAAAGTCCCATCTTTAGAGGAACAATCCATCAAAGAGACTAGTTCTAAAGAAGTGCAATTTGATTACATGATCCCTTCAATGGGTAAGAGTATTATTATATTGTGTGACTAATCATTATTTTTGAAAGATAAATTGGATGGCCTGAGTGATGTTCAGGTAGTAGAAAAGAAGCTGTTCTTAATTCAAGGAGACAAACCTCAACTGATGAATTGGGAGAAATATGGTCTAAGGATTGGAGTACAAGAAGGAAGCCTATTGTCCTCTGAGACAGTAGAAGCAGCAGTGGTTGCTCTTGTAGGAGGACAGTTCCAGTTTCCTCCTAATACTGTCCTAGTGAGTGCTGTGTATGCAGTATCACTCTCAAAGCCTCTCCTCAAACGGCTCGAATTAGAGATACAGCACTGTGTTGATTTAACAGGACAACCAGCTCTTAGTCGTTATCTCAAGTTTGCTATAGCTCCCATGAGCACACCCAGTCTTCCTTACCAGTTCTCAATAGTTGAGGGAGGAGAGTTTAAACCTGATAGTTGGTATGGATCCATTCAACGTAACAAATTCTGTTTAGTATCTATCGTTGGGGAGAAACATGTATCCAAATCATCAACTAATGGTGATAATAGTGACAAGTCAGAGGAAGAGGAGGAGCAGATGGAGCAAGATGAACAAGAGAGGCAAGACGAACAAGCAGAAGAGGAAACTGAGGAAGAAGTGGAAGATGGTAGTGATTCTGATAAGACTAAAGATCCACCAGGAGGTAGCAGTGGAGGACAGGGTGAGTAATGAGTGAGTGAGTGTGTACTAGTATATACTGAACTGAATCTATTCCACTATATAGGAGAGTCTACTAGTAATGAGGGAGTAGAGGAAGAGGGGGAGACTAGAGGTCAGCCATTACATGAAGAAGGAAATGAAGAGCAAGATAATGAAAGAGTAGAAGAGTCAAAGGATCATGAAGAACCACAGCATGAAGAAGCAACTGCTCCAATACCTTGTACTGAAATTAGTTCAGACGTTAATAGTAAGTTCATCAAAAGTTAGATAGTGAATAGTTATGTGTAATAGGTGAAGTAGTAGCTAACTCCACTGGTATAGTAGAGAATATGGCTTATGCTGGACTGGTTTATTATGAGAAGAAAGAAGCTGAAGATTTGGTGACATTTGCTGCCGCTAAAGAGCTCAATGCACTGCTTGAGGTAACTGCTGTACTTATGAGTTGTATAGTGACTTTGTTTGCAGTTTATTAAAGAAGACTATCCTCGTGCTGAAAAAGGACAAAATTTTCTATTTCGCTTCAAAGATTATTATGGATGTATTGAATTAAAGTTTGATGCACCTCAAGAAAAACCATTCACTGGTTGGAGTATTGAGCCTCACCTTAAGCCTTGTAGAGTAAGTACTGTGGCAATATATAATGTGTATAACTGATGGTTGGTATGTGTATATTAATAGTTTTTACGTTGTGATGTTGATAAGTTTGGTGAAGCTAATTGTCCTCTTCCTTCACATTGTCTAATATCAGTATATGGGTCACCTGGTGCTGTACCATCATTGCACTATTCTATACCACTGGATGGAGTGGCTGATCCTAAGGCAGTATTCATTCACCGATCACTGAGAACTACTCCTCTTCTTCCTTCACCTTCAACAGGTAATAGATACAAATAATTTAAAATTGTTTATTTATTTGATATTAATCAGATCCTACTACCTCCTCCTCCTCCTCTAATGTAGTACATGAATCAACGTCAGTATCATCCACTGGAGGAGCTAGTAAGTGATAATACTGTGTGTATATACTGACCTTTGAACTCTATTAGGTCCATCAGCTACTGTTGATTATGTTAAGAGAGCAAAGGCAGTGATCGATGATGTTCTTGTATCTCATTATGATACTCTCACTTCTCTAACTAAATCTTCTCTTTTAAGTCTTGCTAATAAACTATACGCTGCTGGTCTCATTAGTGAAGGAGTCAAAGAGAAATGTACAATGGAAGAGTTTTTAGGTGAATTTAGAACTAGTCTTGGATTTAAGAAGGAGTTATCTCAAGTGGAGGAGCATTGTCAAAAGTTTTTAAGCTCATTTGTTGCTGTAAGAGGCAGTTATGCTGATGCAGGAAAATATTTAAGTCAGGAGTGGATTGAAGCTATTAGGAATAAACTTGGATTTGATTTTAATATTGATACTTAGTAATGATATTGCATTTTGGTTGTTTTTGTTTGATTTGCTTATTTGTTTTACATTTTATATGATCAACTATAGAACAATCATATAAATCTGAGATGACATTCATATTTTGAATGCTTTGTTTGGCCACGACACGCCTATTCTCTTCTGAGATGGCTGAAGGTTTTGTTCCTGCTACTAAAGAATATGAAGTTTTAAAGAAAAACGCTAGCAAACTTCAACAAGCAATCACTTATCCAAATCTGCTGTCAATGGAGTTGTTTTCAGGGAAGCTTATTCCTTTTCAAATTCTTCAAAAGGTCAATGCTGCTGTCAATACATCTGATGCTCTGAATCTGGAACTGATCATTAACTTACTTCAAGCAGTGGTCACTGATCCTGGCAACTTTCACAAGCTCCTTCAAATATTAGAGAATCATCCTCCACTACTGACTGCTGTTGCCAAAGAAATGAAAGAAGACTATGCAAGTAAGCTCTATAAATAAAAGTATTGAAATATTTTTTATCTTTGTGTAGAAATATCGTGCCAAGTTGAGTCTCAATCATTGCCTGATAGTAGCAAAGATCTAAGCGGCACTGTACAACAGAAAAGTAAGCATTAGATATGTACAATGTGTGCTTTTTATTACGGAGTATGTAGCAATTAATGTGGGCTATAGCATGCATCGTGATTTTGCGGATTTAAGAGGAAAGCTGGGAGACTTGGTGTATGACATAAAGAAAAAAGTCGAAGAGGCTCATATCAACATCAATGATGTGAAAGATGTCATCAGATATCATGACCCTGACGAAAAATGTAGTATCCAATTACAAGAAGCAAGAGACATGTCACAAGTATTTTTCATAGTTCGTACCCAGCTTTGCTCTCTTTGCAATTGTTCCATATTGCAAAAACTTGCTAAGAGGTTTAATCTTCAAGATGGTGAAAGAATAATTCAAGAATATGAGTTTGCAAAGGAAAATTATCGAAGGTTGCTGACTAGCTCATCTTTTGCAGACGAATTGCGAAAAGAGAGTCAATTTCCATCAAATGCAAAAGGTATTATTGTTTTGAAGTTGAAGTGGCCATCAGTCAAGAGCCTGACTGTCTTAGAGTTTGAAAATATCATCAAAGAAGTGTTCTCTGAGCTTTACTGTTATATGCATCTTCTTAAAGTTGAGCCAGGTTCAATCATTGCTACATTGTGTGCTCCTGAAAAAGTTACAGGAGCACTGGTAGCACTGGCAAAGAGGAGTATTGTGTATCTCAATGATATTAGAGTGACCTGGTTAAAAATTGGAGAAACTTCAGTTATCGATGACATTGACGACACAGAAAAGGTACACGGAACATTAATTATAATTGTTAGTATTTTATATTATTTTTCTGATTAGTTATCACAGGTTGCCATTGAACAAGATAAGCCCTCTTCCTCCAGTCCTAATAAGGTAGTTGAGATATTCAGTACTCTACTATCAGTTGACATAGCATATTATTTTAGGTGGAAAATATTTTGGACAATGTTGATAATCTGCCAAGTAAGTACTACATGAGAGAATTTGGTGCTAAAGTGTGTATATTCATTAAAATATATCAATACTCTTGATACTATGTAGATACATCATCATTCATTAATGTACAGGTTCATCAGTTGGAGTTGTTATTGGAACAGTGTCTCAGTTAAGTCATCCATTAGTACAAGCTGGAGTAGATGATGGAGGAGATGATACTGATCAAGGAATGGGAACTGATTCAGCTACTCCAATGGTTGACCAAACATGGCGTCACTATCCTGTCACACCAAAAGAAGTAATGATTATTGGATCATTTGGTGATCATAATAATTGGCTGGAACAACAGTTAGTCATAGTAATTATTAATTATTATTGTTGTTTATTATTAACAGACACAATGTATCACCAAAACTACTTACAGCAGAGTTACCAGGTGACTGGAGGAAAGAAGAGATTCAGAATATTGCAGACCTGTATAGTAGAAATCCTGCTTTTTATCACATTAATTCAGTCCATTATGATGTACCAGGAAGTGAATGCACTAAAGAATGTTACATGGAAGCAATCAAACAACTTTTTATTAACTGCAAACTGGAAGGAGGTATGAGAAAGATTTCACTACTGACTAATATTAATGCTTCTTGTTATATAGTTTTTCTCTATTACACTGGTCATGGAGAGAAGGACACTGGTAACTGGTGCTTCAAAGATGGAGTAATATCATTCAATGATATCTTTGAATTATATGTAAACCATTTTAAAGGAAAGCCATTAGCAATAGTATCAGATTGCAGTTATTCTGGTAACTGGATCAATGAATGCAGTAAGAGGTTAGATGAGATGGATGTTCCATCATGTGGACACCACACAAGAAAGCAAGGGCTGTTGTTTCAGATATACACCTCTTGTCAACCAAATGAAGAGGCTACTGCATTGTGTTATGTTGATGAAGCTGTTCAGTATAGTGAAGCAGATAAGTCAGTGATATATTGGCATGGTGCAACACTATCATCAGGACAGAAAACAATGTGTACTGACTTTAGATACATTTATTGCAGTAAACTAGCTAATGAATCCTGTGAAGCTGATGCTGACTGTACTTGGAATAATCGGTTTAAAGGTTGTCTTCTTTATTGTGTTCGTGGTAAAGAAAAAGGACGGGCAGCCTGGCACTATGTATTAGTTGATGAAGAGAAAGTAGCTGACTTTAAAGCTCAAGTAGCTACTGGATTCATTGATGTTGCTGATTATGGTAGAATCTTAAAGTCAGGATGGGGTGAGGATCCTCCCAAAGATATTGAGCGAAAGATGGAGCTGCGATTTGGTTGGCCTTGATCACATGCATGACCATTATAATTTCTATAATTTTTAGTGCGTCTCCTTTTTGTAGTCATTAGTTGTCAACAATTCAATTCTTGAATAAACTTACTGCATAATATTACATTAGTACATTGCCCCTCTCAACTATCTTTTGCAAATAATAATAATAATAATAATAATAATAATAATACAATAATACTAAAATATTTATAACATAGCTCCTTCTGTTGTAATGCATTAAAAAGTTTCACATACAAAATTGGGCACTTTTCATAATCTTCCAGTCCTTGAAAGACAAACTAAAACTGAACCCAACCACCACCACCACTGAAGAGAGGGAGAGAGGGAAAGAAAGAGAAGGGAAAGAGAATAGTAGAACATTCAATAATGAATTTTAATTCCATTGCACATACCTTGAGTTTGTCCCACTAGTTGTATTGCCACTGCTGCTAGTAGAACTGTTTCCAGTTGCAGTAGCTGAAAAGAAGTCTCCCCAATCATCACTGCCTGAGGTGGTGGATGGAGCAGGGACTGTTGGAGGTTTCACTGGACGACTGCTGGACACAGGAGGAGGTAAAAGACCACCAGCAGCAGACAGACCTAGAGATGAGCATTATACAAGCAGTCTTTCTATTCTGCAGAGTTACTGAGTTGCATAGTACATATATATCAGTAATGGTAGGTATTTATACTGTCAGTAGTATCACTATTACCAATCAGAGGCTTGTCTTTAGCTCCTGGGTCATCAGCACCAAGCTTCAATTTAGCCTACAAAATAGTAAAATATTATAGGAAACTATAGAAACAGATAGTGAGTTGAAAGATAAAAGTACAGGTAATGCAGTGGTAAGATTTGATTGAAAAGTCCATAGACTATAGTGTTGATTGGTTGTTTGGCAGTTGGTGAATTGGAAGAAAATGAAATATTAAGACAAGCCAACAATTATTAAGATAATGTTTTCCGCCACAAATATGAAGACAAGTCTCCCAATATTTGTATAAAACGATGTCTTACTCCAATGTTGACTGATATCTTCTCTCCTTGCTTCAAGCTGTAGTCAACCGTCAGTTTAGGCTCAGTCTCTTCCTTAGCAATCTTCTCATCTCTTTTAATACCTCTAGAAATAATAAAAAGAAGAGAAATGGAGAGAGTGAAAGAGGAGGAGGGAGGACTCACTTAAAGTGCTCCATTAATGAGACGTTGAAATCAAAAGCGTCTCCACGATCTTGAAAACCCAAACCGACAAAAGCATGACGACCTAAACAAAGAGAATAAAGAAAAGTTATCAACTATCACAAACAGACAATAATGAGAGAAGTAACAAAGAGAAGAAGAGTGGATAGACAGAAGAGATAGAGGGAGTACATACCTGATGGATCCTTTAGTCTGAGTACAAAGTATCTACTGGAGTCAGAGACTGGCTCGACAGCTAAACCAGGGAAAGAATCCACTGGACAGACTGCAAACAACTCACCTGAAGAGAAATGATACACAAATGAATAATAGTACATTAATATACGCACATATACTGCATGTGTGTGCTTAATATGCATGAATATACAATGTGGAGATACAATCCTACAAAGGTTTCATTGTATCCGAGGTTGTATCAGCCCATCCATTCTCATTCTCTATTATTGTCATTTCTTTATTTAAGTATTCTACTAGTTATGTGTACATGTGCACAATATTGAATGGCAGCATAAAGAAGGAAAGTTACCAGATCGGTCCTCCAGTTTAATGAAGCACTCATTCTTTTTAGAGACTATCTTTAGTCTTCCTTTAAAGTCAGGGGCAGCAAGATTCCAATCAGCAGCTCTGAAAGGACTCCAATACAACAGATAATACCCTATCGTTCCCTTACCTAACAGCGCGGGTAGTGGAGACCCTGGGCGGTATCTGATAAATGAAAGCTTCTTGCTTCACTAGCTGTATCGACTCGTACTCTTCCGCCATCTTTGTTTGGTAACAAAGACACGCCCAGTAATTATTAATTAGTGGGTCACGCCCATGCAATTTTCATTTTTCTTCCTTTTTTCTTATTATTTTTAGTTTAAATTGAGCTCCACCATTTTTAACTGCAGTACTAGCACCATACATTAATATGAGCAAAGAAGATGAGGACATTTCAGCTGTCATGGGATTCTCGGGATTTGGTGAGTCTTAATGATAAGATCACGTGATGTCACGTGACTGCAGGTCGTTCCAAGACTGCCAGAAAGTTCGACATTGATGCAATGTTCAAGGAAACACTCTCTACAGCTCAAGCGTCACAGGTCAAAGGTCAGAATTTATTTAAATTTAAAATGATTTTTGCAAGTTAAATGCAATAATAATAATAGTAATAAAGTAATTTTATTAATTTTTTATAGATAAGCCTCAGACTTTAGAAGAAAACGTGAGTTGAGTATTATTATATTCCTCGTTAATGAGTGGGTGTAATAATTACCATATTAGGAAGAAGAAGGTGATGATATGATTGGTCCTCCTATTCCAGTTAACCTCTCGGCACCTAATGAAGAGGAGGAGGAGGGGAAAGAGGAGGAGGAGGAGGAGGAGATGGGGGAAGTAGATGTTAGTTTATATTGTGTAACAATTGTGCAAATTTTTATATTTTGTAAAAAATACTGAATTATTGTTTAGAGAATTTGCAAAACACTGATGTGTTCTTTATTTTTATTTTATTTTATTTATATTTTATTTCTTTGTGTTCCCTTTTTTAAAGGATGAGTTTGAGAAGAGGTTTCCACTAACAAATGAAGTCGTAATGGATCATGGAGCTAAACCAGTGAGCCAATTGTAATACATGTACATGTACAATTTACATGTACATGTATGCAGGTATCAGCACTAGGCCTTGATCCAGCTGGAGCTCGGCTGATCACCGGTTGCTACGGATACGATGTCAAACTCTGGGACTTTGGTGGTATGGACGCAACTCTAAATTGTTTCCGTACTCTGACGCCTTGTGGAAGGTATTTCACAAACTTGTACTGTTAATTAGAACATATATGGTATCACAGTCACCCCATTTGCACAGCACAATACAATCACACTGGAGAGCTTATATTAGTCGCCTCGGGTAATGCACAGGTATGGGATAAAATTTTAATGGGCAGTCGTTCTCAATTTTGATAGGCTATAGTAATGGACAGAGATGGACAGACAGTGGCAGAGTGTCCAAAAGGATGGCAGTACATAGCAGATATGACCAACACTAATGTTAGAAATAAATTATAATTAATAATTATTATTGTATCTTACATTAACTTTTAATGGTACAAAGTTCTGCTAGTTATGAACATTTTTAAAATGAGCCATTTTTGGAAAAAACCATGGGCTATAGCCTTGGGTATTTTTCAGGATTTTGGCGTTTTCTTAATATGGTTGTAACTCGAAAAATTGAAGTCAGAATCAGCTCAAACTTGCTACACAGCTTAAGTACATCAATATGTATCAGAAAATGTAATAAAAATTTGGGGTGATTTTGGAGCCATTTTTTGGAAAAACCATGGGCTATAGCCTTGGGTATATGTACTTGTATGATGATAATCTTTATGGCAGGGTCATATATCAATGATTAACAATGCTTGCTGGCATCCTTTTCACAGAGACCAATTCATCACTTGTTCAAATGACTGGTGAGAACAAAATATTATCATTAGTTAAAAATTTCTTTTACTCATGTCTACCTTAATACTACTCTCCTTTCTTTCTTTATATACTTTTAATGATCTTTCTTCTCTCTTTCTCTCAGCACTGTTAGAATATGGGAGGTTGAAGAAGCAGCCAAAAAGCAAAAACACGTCATCAAGTCAAGAAGCAAACAGGGTATGCGTGGAAGTTATTTTATGTATTTCTAAAATTTGCACTTTAGGTAAGAAGACGCCCATCACGACGTGTACGTACAGTAGAGATGGTAAATACATTGCTGGTGCTGGAATTGATGGAAGCATTGCAATGTGGAAGGGAGATGGTCCCTATGTAAGTAATCATGTATATTTATGTACATGTACATGTATATTTTAATTCCTTTTATTATTAATATTTAGGTAAGGCCATCACTAGCTAATTACAATGCACATGTTCCTGATACTGAGACCTCGTGTCTTTGTTTTGCTCACGATAATCACACGCTAGTATCAAGAGGAGGTAACCTGCTCTCTCTCCCTCTACTGTGTATAAGGATTTTTCACTTCTTTATTATTTTCATGATTAATTGTACTGTACAGTGTACTTCTCTTAAATTCTCATTCCTTCTATCACTTGTTCTCTTTTTGTTCTTGTTTCTCATCAGGTGATTCTACGCTAAAGGTTTGGGATATTCGTAAGTTCAGAGATCCAGTTAGTACCGTCAGTGACCTCTTCAATCACTATTCAGTGTAAGCCAGAAATTTACATAATAATGATACTACCATATTGCTGTAATTATTGTGAATATACTAGAGTATATTTTATTGCTTTATTTACAGAACAGACTGCTCCTTCAATCCTGATGAGACTATCATTATAACTGGTACTTCTGCTCAAAAACAAAAGGTCAGCAAATACACAAGTAGTGAAAGATTCTCTTAATGTATCAAACTCCTGTACAATAACTGTTCATTGGGGTATAATATTAATACTCTTATTTTTAAAGGATAGTACTGGTGAGCTCCTCTTCTTTGACAGATCATTAAATCAACTTCATAAACTAACGACACCAGACTCAGTTAGTACTTCAATCCTCCTTTTTCTCTCTATTCTTCTCCTCTAACTATTGATCCTATTAATTTCTCTCTTTCCATCTCTCTTCTCACTTTATCTCAACCTACAGAGTGTCATCAGGACCTTATGGCATCCTAAATTGAATCAGATATTCATTGGTTGCAGTTCTGGTGATGTGAAGGTTTTCTTCAGTGATAAATACAGTCACAGAGGACCCAAGATGAGCCTCAACAAGAGGAAAAGAGGAAGAGCTGACATAGTGACGTCAGTCGGAATGAGAGTCCTAACACGTTAGCACCTTTTTATGTACCATCCGGGAAAATCCCTGTACTATAGCCCATGGTTTTGAAATTGACTCTAAAGCACTACTCATTTTCCATACTCTCTCTCTCATTTCTTTAGCTCATGCTCTGCCAATGTTTCGGGATGAAGAGATGAAGACACTCAAAAGACAGAGACAAAAAGAAAGAAAGGATCCTATCCTCTCTCACAAACCAGCTCTACCAGTCACTGGGAAAGGTAAACAAGACAATCCCGTACTGCCTCTACTGAATATTTATTTATTGTTTATTTAATTTTTTTAAAGGTGTTGATGGTAGAGTTGCTTCAGGTGGTGGTAGTTCAATAGGAGCTTACATGAGGAAGATGGTAGCACTAGAGAAGGCAGTTGACAAAGATGAGGATCCAAGAGAGGCACTCCTGAAATATGCTAAAGTGAGTGAACTTGAATTAAGCGAATGCTTCTAAAGTTAATGATGATGTGTTTGTAGATATCAGAGGAAAATCCAATGTATGTGAACCCAGCTTATAAAAAGTAAGAGAAACAGTGTATGTATATAAGATATGCATGATGGAATTTGACATAATACTGCAATGAATGTACATCTACTCATAGTGTAAGAATACAAGTAGTCAAGTACCTCTAAAAATTAGTTTCTGTCAAGAAACTGGCAGTTCTTTCACATGAATGTTTCCCTATTGTATTGTACTGTATTGTATTGTTAATGTATAATTCTCTTTTCTCAGAACTCAGCCAGTACCAGTATTTCAGGAAGGAGGAGGTGGCGACAGTGATGATGAAGAAAACTCTTAAAAACTCATAAATGATAATAAAATTAAAATAATAATAATAATAATTACTATTATCATCACTTCTCCAGCTCTCTCTCTCTCTCTATGAAAAGTTAAAATGACTTTTATATGTGATTAAAATACAATGAAGTTGTGAAGTACATGATTGATTGTAATGATAACATTAAAGTAGTATTAGTTGTATTCATCTGAAATTAAATGAACTGGAACTGCTCTGACTGTGAGTGGCTAGGGAAGACATTGATATCCTCCTTCTTCTCTGATATCTACAACAAAAACATTAAAAATTATCAGAATATTTAAAAGCATTTGCACTCTATAAAACTTTTAAAATGAAATCGTCATTTGACATTAGAGTAGCATGGACTATTATTACCTATACATCTGTTGAATGAATAAAGCTGCTCTCTGGAGCTCCTCTGTTCTCCGTTTGTACAATCTGTATTGAGCTTGAATGCATCTTGCTGCTTCATCTTTCCTTCTCTTCAACTAAAAATGTACAATGTGAACAGTCAATCGTCACTAATATACACACAGGCATAAAGTACTTGTACTGCCTACCTCTCTGTATCTCTTGTAAGATCTCTCAATGAGGAGTGCAGCGTTCTTCTCTTTATACGTCACCATTGAGTTAGGTCTCTCTTTACATCTCCTCAGTGTCTTCTGTATCACTCGTGAAGCCTCCAGCAGCTCCTGCTGCTCTGGGCCGGAGAGAGAGAGGTGAGAGAAGTCCTCCTGTTGAACATTAGGGGATTCACTCATAAGCTCACACAACTCAGCAACCAGAGATGATTCCGAGTCTCCGCCAGCAGTTGATAAAGAGCTTATGGATGCTTGTGAAGGACTGGGCGGAGACTGAACAGGGGAGGAGCTCCGATATAAAGGAGGAACATGCAGTGGTGACACGTGAGGGCTCTGAGTTACACTACTGGCTAAATGTGGCGGCTGCTGCAATAACGAGTTAGCGAATTGAAGATTCCGTTCTAAGAAACTATAATTACCAAACAAGGAGAGACTGGTTGGCATGGGAACAGAGCTGGTTGTCATGGGAATGGAATTAGCCGCTGCCATGGGGGTGGGGTTAGTTGGCATGGAAACGGCCATTTCACCATACATGGTTGGAGTCGTGGAGACTGCCAACTCGTTGCCATAGTAACTCGTTTCGTCTCCATGGGAACTGAAAGTGCTGACGTTGCTAGGCGTCTCTTGGCCATTAAGTGAAGCCATATATTGTGACGTGGGTGAGAGAGGAAGGGGCAGTTCCTCTCCCCTACCCTCGTTGTACAAGTCCATTAATATCTTTAAACTATCTGGATCAAGATCAAGACTTGATAGGGTATAGTCGTCATGGGCGGAGTCAATTTGAGGGGCGTGGCCAGTAGAAGCATCCATTGCAGTGTTTACAGGTAACTGATTGTGTGTGGGCGGTAACATATCATTTTGAGTGGGTGGGGCAAGCCCGTTATAAATTATACTATCATAAGTGGGCGGAGCCAATCCATTATGCAACATCTCATTAGTCGAGCCATTATGTGTGGGTGTGGCTAAAGACTCATTAAAAGTAGGCGTGGCTAAAGACTCATTATGAAGGACTGACTGTCCCAATATGTCGTTATCGTGAGTGGGCGGGACTGTACCATTGGTTAACTCGTCCAGAAAATGGTCGAGGAAATTATCAGAAAAGAGATCAGAAGAACTCATATCGATATTGCCTGAACTAGCAAAACTGGTATTACTGGTATCCAAACTGGTTTGACTGGTATTCAAACCGGTTTTTTGACCGGCATTGGTTTCTTGTTGTTTCAGACGTTGAGCATCTTCCAGTGGACGCATCGTCAGCAAAGACTCGGCAAACTGAGTGACCTCCGCCATACATGTACATGTATCAGAGGAGGAGGAGGAGAGGGCGGAGTCAATATCGAGAGGTTGGGGGAGAACTGCCTTGAGCGATTCGAGTGACGGAGGATGAATGAAGGAGAGGTACTCAGAATCATCGGGAGAGACTTGAGAATTAGTGGGCGTGGCTATTGTGACGGGAGTGGGCGGGGTCTGAGTGACGGCAGGTATTCTATTGGGAGTGTGATGATGAATGGAATGATTTCTAGTGGATAGAGAGGTAGTGGGTGTGGCTTGTACTAATAACGGCCGAACTATTGATAATACTGATGATAATGATATGTTAGATGTTCCAGAAGACTCTGTCCCATCAGCTGTACTCTTATTACTGTCAGATTGAGCTAGGAGTATAGCAGCTGCTCTCAAGACATCGGCTGACGCCATTTTCTCAGTCGTACCTTTAGGCAGTAGCACCTGCTGTGGTGAGCCTCTTTGTAACTGAATCAGTTTCATTGCTTGATCAAACAGAGCCACGTTATCTCTTAGCGTCATTTCTTCAGAACTCTCCATATTACCATCCAAAGGCTCTTGCTCATTCCATCGGTTAGGAAACAGCGTCTTTTGTACGTAAGTGATCAAGGTTGCCGTGGTAACAAGCCCCTCCTTCTGGTAGAGTGTGTGGGCGGATTGATGAATGCTTTGTAAAAGGTTCTTTAGTGAGACCTGACTGGTTGACGAGCCTTTACTTGATAATAAATACCGACAGAGAGTCTCATCGCTGAGAGCTAGTAACCCTGTACTATCAACCGGTGGGCCTCCAATGACATCAGGATTAACCTGTAAGGGGTGTGGTTATGGGCGTGGTCAGTACAGAGGACTTACCTGGTCGGTCAATTGTCTTTTTAAACTGGCCGGAGTAACTTTCCTACAAGATCCACTGGCACTAACATCAAGATAATGAACTAAAGTAATGGACGGATTCTACATTATAAAGAAAAGAGAAAATATAAGTAGATCATTATCATAATAATAATAATAATGATAATACATTCGTGTTCCATTAATTAAGACCAATTAAAATCCAATATAAACACTACTTGTTTCTACTATTATAATTATATTACTACAAACTGCATCAACTGCAAAGCAAAAGGACAGGAAATTGTAAATGAAGTAGCACACAAAACACAAAACACAAAACACAAAATACAATGTACATGTACATGTAGACATGCAAACAAAATGGAATAATATGTACACATGAATGGTGGGTACATAGTAATTAGTAGTTCACTGTACTATCAGGGTTATCCTTTTATTGCCAAATAGTTTATCTGAGGTATGTATATACTTAGTAATCATAATCAACAAACAAACAGGGTCTGTGAGCCAGATTTAGAATAAATAGAAGGATAGAGAGAAAGATGAAAAGAGGAGAGAGAGACAGAAAAAGGAGAGAGAGAGTATTATACATGTACGTATGAGAAAGAGTAAAAAAATTAATGATAAAATCAATTCCCTAATCACAATCGATGATTATGTACTTCCACTATAACTGAGTATAAAATATTTATACTTTAGGGACTGATTTCTACAGCCTCAGTTAATCAAGTGCATCTTATCTAGTACTACTGGAGGGTCGCCTGTTTACTAAACAATCAGTTAAAAACTATAATAGTTTACTCAAGCAGCTCCACTGAATAAAGACTGATATATATACTATTGTATTTAGGACCTGAAGCTGCTGATTGTATTACACAAACTGAAATACTACACCATCTTAAAACAATGAGACTACTATGATTACTATTATCATTATTAATTACTATTAGTAGCTACATGTATAGTATATAGAATAGGACTAGGAGGGATTAGGTCCATACCGATATCAGCCAGTAGATTCTTCTGTGGAATGAAGGGTTGGATTCACAGTGAGTGTACAGAGCATAGAGGAGCTGGAAGGGGAGAAGAGAAAAGGAATTAAGAGACAGAAACAATAGAAAAGAATATAATGTATATTTTACATGTAAATGGTAAATGAGTGTATAAGGTACATAATTTGTGAAAGAGGAAGGAAGTAGGAAAACATAGAGAGAGAGAGGGGGAGAGAGAGAGGGGGGGAGAGAGAGAGGTAGAGAGAGAGAGGGAGAGAGGGAGAGAGAGAGAGAGAGGGGAGAGAGAGAGAGATGGGGGGGGAGTGCAGGAGAATCACTGAATGTGTAAAGTTACAAACACATAATTAAAATATCACACAAACAACAATGAAGGACAATCAGTGCTGTAATAACCTCAAATATGGAAGCTAACACTACCATAACAGCATTAGTATTGTGTAATGCTTAATATAAACTACAGTGAGATTACACAACTAATTATGGAGTAAGGTTGTTCTCTTACTGTTTAGTACATGATTTAGAACATGTACTGTGGTGGGGGGAGGGCTATCAGTTTTGTATATGACAGTTTCAGGTAGGATGTTATACATTTTAAGGACAAACAATGTACAACTTGTCACTTATTTAGTTTAGAAACAAGATATGTTTACTAAACTTTATCTCTCTCTGTCTCTGTCTCTCTGTCTCTCTCTGTCTCTGTCTCTCTGTCTCTCTCTGTCTCTGTCTCTGTCTCTCTCTGTCTCTGTCTCTCTGTCTCTCTCTCTGTCTCTCGAGAGACAGAGAGACAGAGAGACAGAGACAGAGAGAGACAGAGAGAGAGAGAGAGAGATCTCTCTCTCTGTCTCTCTGTCTCTCTCTGTCTCTGTCTCTGTCTCTCTCTGTCTCTGTCTCTCTCTTTGTCTCTCGAGAGACAGAGAGACAGAGAGAAAGACAGAGAGAGACAGAGACAGAGACAGAGAGATCTCTCTCTCTCTGTGTCTCTCTCTCTCTCTGTCTCTCTGTCTCTCTCTCTCTGTCTCTCTCTCTCTGTCTCTCCCTCCTTTCCTCTCTCATACACTCACTGTGTGTCCACAGACTTTTAACTTTGTTCTATCTTCTCTAACTGATGCCGCCTGATGCTTCCGAGTCTTCCAATCGTATCCATCAACTTTATAATTCTTAGTCTGGAGAGAAAGAGGATGTAAGAAGAGGGTGACATTATAGATAGGAAGGGAAGGAGAGAAGACATTTAAAGTGTTAGTGTGAATAAAGTAGTGCTAATGAGAAGTGTTGAATATCACATTCTAATTCTCCTTAATACACTTAAATGGTAAGTGAGGATTGGCAGCATAATAACACAATAATACTGGACTAAGTACAATGGGTTCAAAGTATCAGTACATGTACTTATATGTACATGAATGGTGTACCTTTCTCTTATCAAAAAGTAACATGGTCCCTGAAGGAGGCCTGGAAGAAAGAGAGAGAGGGAGAGAGAGAGGGAGAGTAAGAGAGAGAGGGAGAGAGTAAGAGAAAGGTGTATTACAGCAGAGGGGTAGAGAGAGAGAGGATCTTAATCACTTTGTATGTCTCTGAGTTGTAACCCAGTCTTTGTGAGCATCGAAACTAATCAGGTAACTCAGTATCTCCTATACACACGAGATGTACAGATGTACCAGTACTGTACTAAACGACGCCCACTCACCTCGGGGAGGTTCCAGCGATGGAGCTCTCTCGGGAAACTGGTCCTCGGCCACACAACCTTGATCATGTGACCCTCAGGTGACGTGGGTACTTTGATAACTGAATAACCTGGATCATTGGATACTTTGGTGTCTATCAAGAGAGGGAGAAAGAGAGTGAAATACTATCCTTGTTGCTTACCTTTTCTGAGCTGCTCCAAAAGAGGATGGTCAGTCGAGGCAGATGCCATTTTCCTATTGTAAAGAGATAGAGAGGCTACTGTGGGAGCTGTAGTTAGGCATCAGCCGAGAGAAGGAGAGAGAGAGAAAAGATTTCGAGACACATTGACACCAGCAAAGCAGAAGTACCCATAAACATTCATACGCCCACGCGTGGCCACGCCTGCTATGATTAGATTTTAATAGAAATTTTTATTCAACAATTTTTTATTCATTCAAAAAATTAAATTAATAATAACAATAATAATATTATTTATTTATTTATTTATGCATTTATTGTTGTTGTTATTATTTAAATAAAATAGAAACCTGTCTCTCTTTGAATGCGCGCGTACTATTATTCCATAATAATAATAGTAATAATAATAACAATAATAATAATAATAATAATAATAATAATAATAATATGAAAAACAACATTAGGAGAGGGAGGAAAGGGAGCGATAATATGCTACATCACCATAAAGACTGCTGGTGTAAGTTTCGACTCAGAACCGAGCGGACATCTTGCGTGAATCTCAGCGAATCCAAAAATGGTAAGAGATCAAGCAAGTCCGTATCAAGAGGGTCTGAGAACCAGGAGGTTATCGGAATAGCATTGTCTATAAATAAGAGGGGGAGGAGAAAAGGGGGAGGAGCGAGAGAGAGAGAGGAATTATGGCCGTGGAACCAGTGTTTCCCACAAAGAGTGTAAACAGCACCAGCTTCATGAGCTGACAAGCACTACAATACAGTACATGGCATTTGGAGCAACTTTAAAAATTCGTAAAAAATCTAATTTTGATCGGAATCAGCTCAAACTTTCTATACAACATAAGAACATGTATATGTATCAGGGAATGTCATAAAAAGTGAGAATTCTCTACTTTTCATTTTTGGCGAAATTTGGCCAAAATCCCTGTACTATAGTACAGGGACTTTTACCCAATTTTGGAGCAACTTTAAAAATTCGTAAAAAATCTAATTTTGATTAAAATCAGTTTAAACTTTCTACACAACATAAGAAAATGTATATGCATCAGATAACATTATAAAAATGAAAAATTTTGTCCTCTTCAATTTTGGCAAAATTTGGCGTGACCCAATTTTAGAAAAACTTTTCCTTTATAAATTGCCATGCAAATTAAAAATAATTGTACGATCGACTTATCAATTCTGACCAGGATTTCCCCTATAAGCTGAAGGTGAATTATCAAGTATAAAAATGTTGCTAAGATCTTCACTTATCATCGAGAGATTCTTAGTGTAGCCATTCATATCCATTGTACAGTCCTTGAGAGAGAGAGAGAGAGAGAGAGAGAGAGAGAGGGAGAGAGGGTGAAGGAAAAAGAAAGAGGTTAGAGAAGAAAACAAAACATTTAAGAATTGCTAAAATAAACTTCAAAACAAGGTGTTACCTGTCTAAAATATCTCCTGGGCAATATCCCTTTATTCTGATCCAGATGATTAGCCACCTCCATACCATATTTCTATAAGAACAAGTCATTAGTAATTGTTGAAATGATATTCATACCTGCATACTGGCTGTAAAAATGACAAGATCATACCATTGAGATACCTACACAAGCAGTGAGAGGAACAAAGAGAGAGAGAGAGAGGAACAGAGAGAGAGAGAGAGAGAGAGAGAGAGATGGGGAGACAAAAAAGAATTAAATATGTTTTAGTGCACTTACATGTATATCTTCTAATTTAGCAAATTAAAATTTAAAATCGAGTACTATTAGTTTTAGTTTAAATTAAGTAAAACAGCACTAACTTATACACAATACTAAAAGCATTAATTACTCAACTACATGTCAATGAAAGGTTTCATTTTCACTGTACTTTTAAGCTAATACGAAACAATCTCATTATTATACTAATATTAAAATCAGGACCAGGAGATGCTGCTTTCCAACTGTCGATGTTTAGTGCCAAATGTTTACACACAATGCTGGAACAATGGCTGAGTATACTGTTCCTACTCTTATCTCTGCCTGCCAAATTATATAAAAACAGTGGCACTTTCCTCTTCATTGGGAAAATGATATTATAACTAACTTACTGATAAATTATACTTACTGCTACATGTGTACATGTACGTGATATGTACGTGACATATAGGTGTTGTTATTCACTTACCACTGATAAGAAATAGTCCACATGAGGTCTCTTGTAAACATAGAATTTCACCGGATGATTCTCAATGTAGACTCGGACATAAAAGTCTGGAAGCATTTCAGTAGCAGGTAGAAGAGTACTGCTAAAAAGGGAGAGACCGTGGGGGGGGGGGTAAAAGAAGAGGAGAAAGGAGGAAAGAGAAAGATGAAGTATTATAATCTATGATGGCGTAAATTAATATGCTAACTTGTCATGATGAGAGTGTATTAATGTTTCGTCAAGATCAAGTACCATTATCTTTCTCCTTACAGAAACTAAAAAAAAATAACAACCAATATCAAAACAATACCCTCTCTCTCTCCCTCTTTCTCTTACAGAGCCGTGTCTCAAGGTTAGGAGATAATGGAGGGATGGGATATCGAACAGGTTGATACTCTACAAACTAAAGAGAGAGAGGGGGAGGTGAAATGAAAAAGAGAGAAAGAAAGATGGTGGTAAGTGCTGATGTATTTTCTCTTATGTCTACCACAATAACTAATTAATGGGTGTGGTATATTGCACTAACAACATGACAGACCTTTCTTTTCGTTAGCATTAAAACTTGTTTAAAAATGAAGAAGATCGTCCTAATAAACTCAACGAGAAACTTTAAGAACATCCCCCTTCTCTTTCCTCCTCCACCTCCTACGGTCTCTCTCCTTCTCACTCCTCTATAAGACTGCTCCTTCCTCTTGCTCTTCCTCTGATAGGTCTGGTAGCTTATAGCGAGTCTACTAAACCAGTTGTATCCTCCTCCCGCTCCAGAGCCAGTACTAGCTCCCGCTTCCAACCTTTGCTGCTGAGAGGAACCACCAACGAAGCTAACGACGCACTCAGTCTCCCCTGTCATATATGCACCGCCTCGAGGCCTCCTTGTATGCTTTTTGCGTAGAGTAAGTGAGCCAATGGACTGTATCTGCCTAAGGAGCAATTAATAGTGCTTATCTCCCCTGGCCTTTGTCAGTGTAGCCATTTAAATGGGCGGAGAACTGACATGTTAGCCACACCTCTTAAAATTAAGAAATAGGTGTGGCTCAGTAGTGTGGTTAATTAAAAGAGGCGGGACTGCCCTTTGTTTATTAAAAATGGCGGCTACTTTGAGAAATGTGAAGCAACCAGAAGATGCAGCAATGGAGAAAAAACAAGACGAGGAGGAGGAGGAGGACAAAGAGAAACAATCAGACAAGTTTAATCTCGCCATTTTATTGCTACTATACACTCTACAAGGTATACCAATAGGATTGGCAGGCAGTGTCCCCATGCTCCTTCAGACTAAAAAGATAGGCTACAGACAGCAGGCACTCTTCTCTCTCGTCTCTTGGCCGTTTAGCATCAAGCTCCTCTGGGCTCCTATTGTGGACTCCTTCTACAGTCCTACTCTAGGCCGTAGAAAGTCCTGGCTGATCCCCGTACAGTATATTATTGGTCTAACGATGATACTGGTATCTTACAATATTGATGATTTGATGGGAGGAGAGCAAGGAGACCCACCCAATATCACCATCCTTACTATCCTCTTCTTCGTATTCTTCCTCTGTGCTGCCACTCAGGACATTGCAGTTGATGGTTGGGCGATTACTATGCTCTCACGTAAAAACGTCGGCCATGCCTCAACCTGTAATTCTGTCGGTCAGACGATCGGGTATTTTCTCGGCTACACAGTTTTTCTGGCTCTCGAATCTAAAGAGTTCTGTAATACGTACCTGAGGTCTGAGCCTGGGGACGATGGGATTGTTGATATGTCTCATTTCTTCTTTTTCTGGGGCATCGTCTTTACCCTGGTCACTAGTCTTGTCTGGTTGTTCAAAAAAGAAAAGAAAGAGGTTCTACCTAATGCTATCAGGCAGGACGTCTTTGCGGCTTATAAACAGCTCCTTGTTATACTCAAACTCCGCCCAGTTCAAGCCTACGCGCTCTTCGTCCTGACGTGTAAGATCGGGTTTGCAGCTGCCGAGAATATAACTGGTTTGAAACTGGTTGAGTCTGGTCTGCCAAGGGAGAAGATCGCGTTGATTGCTTTGCCAATGGTGCCCATTCAAATATTACTACCACTAGTTATAAGGTGAGACAAAGAATGAGGAGAGAGAGAGTGAGGGAGTAAGTTATGTTACAGAGCCATCTGTCAACAACATGTTTACAATTACACACATACATGTGTATTTTGTTTCAAATTGCATTCCAATGTTTCTGATACAGTTGTTCATGTAACATGATTATCATTATTTAAGCATCTTTCTTTACTGTTTATACATTTAAACTTTTTACGCAGCATAAGTACATCAATGTGTATTGGAAAATGTAATAAAAATTGAGGGTGATTTAAAACAATTTTTTGTATTATTTTATAGTCGTGCTATATCAGGGCCACGCCCAATGGATGTATTCATAAAAGCTTATCCGTTTCGTCTCATAATGACTTTGGCATTCTCCGCTGTGGTCTGGTGGACTAGCATGCACACAGAGGGAGAGTTCTCAGCATTTTATTATGTAATACTAGTGTCGGCTTTTTTACTTCATCAGGTCAGTATAATAACATGTATTCTCTTCTTATAGTTATCATGATCCTTAAACTCTTCTCCTTGTTCCCTCCATACCTCTTCTATACTCCTCTCTCTTTCTCTCCAAACTCTATCCTTCCTTTCTCTCTCCCTCCCTCTCTCTCTCCTCTCCAGGTTGCCACATATTCAATGTTTGTTGCAATAATGTCTTTCCATGCTCAAGTGAGTGATCCCTCTATGGGCGGTACATACATGACCCTCCTCAATACTCTCTCTAATCTCGGAGGTACTTGGACCGGTACCTGTGCCCTCTGGCTCGTTGACGTCGTCTCTTTTAAAGACTGTGAGGGCGTGACCGATTTGACCCTGGACTGCGATACAATGCAAGAGTTAAAGGTAAACCACACCCACTAATTAGAGTGTATGAATAATTAATTTTCATAATTTTTGTGTTATTCCTTAGGCTTGTACAGCTGCTGGCGGTCATTGCGTGACTCATCTAGACGGATACTATGTTGAAATTGCCGTATGCTTTATACTAGGTGTGGTCTGGTATCTATGGCAACGAAACGGGATCAAGAAACTCCAAGGTCTTGACGGATCTGATTGGAAGGCTCGAGGAGAACAATAACAGTCGATTCATTGATACACAATATGATAGTTGATACATAGTTCTAGACGTGTAGATATTGTACTGTAGCTATTCTATAGATATAAATTCATTTATCCACTAATAAAGTAGCAAATTTAGCATAAACTATATAGCAACTACATCAGCAGATCTTCTACATCTAAAACTAACTACAAAAGAATAATTGGGGATACAGCAAGCATTGTTCTACTTGACATAAATCTCGTAATAGCTAACAGGATTATCTTCATTACTAGTTCCCTCATCTCCACAGACCCTCAACTCAATATAGTCAGTAGTGGTAGTGCTACCATAGTTTCTGTGAAACCATGGGCTAACGTTACAACAAGGTACTTCAAGAGAACCACAACCTTGACCATCCCACAGTGCATTAGATGTATGCAATTGGTATTGCCAGTGGCCATTATAAGTCCCTGATTCACAGAAATAATGACTACCAATGAATGATTGGACTTGTATTGAAGAACCAGTAGCACAAGGACATTTACCGCCATCGGAAGCCATTAGTGTCCAGACATGTTGACGAGGAGACCCACGAGTGATACTAACACCATCAACATAATCACCATTCAAATTATTGTGATTATTTTGATTAGAACCAATAGCATCAACTGATGCATATTGATATCCTGTTACTCTACCACATATCTGAGAATAACTGATACCATTAGATGGGAACTGAACTGATGTACAACTGCCTACACTTGATGTTGCTCTACCACAAACTCTAACTCCTCCTGACTGGTAGTACCTTAAACTAGCAGGACAGTTCACTGTAGCATCAGTCATATCCAGATATGCTAGTCTTGTCCATCCTCCTCCTGAACCACACAATGTTCCCATATAACAGTAAGCAGTGTAAGAGCTAGTACCATTAGTAGTAGCTAGTACATACTCACCTGATGGACTGTTAAGTTGTTGCTGTTTAACTTGCTGGCAAGAAGTAGGTAAAGCAGCTGATTCATTGTGTAACTCAAGCAGTTCTTGTGCTATTAGTAGTATATCATCAACCACTCCAGCAGTAGAGGTACAGGTGTCTTGTATATTAGAGAGAGTATTGACAATGTTAATGAGCTTTTGTGCAGAGTTTCCTGTAGTGTTTAATATCTTATCGATATCCTTTGTATTGTTTGATGTTAACTCTGTTTGGCTATCAACAGTATTGCGAATATCATCAATCTTCCATGCAGTGTCATCTGAAGTATTGATCAATTTATCAACTCGAGTTTCCAAGCGAAACATTTGACTTTGCACTGCATCACTCCACTCATTATTATAAACTATACTGCAGTTTGGACCAGTTGCATTGCTTCCAACAGTACCAGAAGAGTTAGCATTACTATTGGTGTTACCAAGAGTGGTGTTACCTAATCCTGATTGTGTGGTTGCATCTGAAACAGAGCAGCTACTTGACAAATGTGCAATCAGCACTCCAAGAATAGCAAGTAATAGAAAAATCACAACAACTAAACCAGCTACAATAACCAGACTGACTGCTTTTAGTTTCGCTGATAATTCCTCGACATGCTTGCTATTGTTAGAGTCATCTTGAAATGGATATTGCTGGTTTTCATTGTACTCTTGTAGCTCTGTTACTTCATAGAGGTTTTGTTTGTCCATTATTGTTTATTGCAATTGGTTAACATGGCAACTAATCATGAATCTCATCATAATTTGAGTCAACACCAAAATCACTTATAAATTCTATAAAATGTTTAAATAGTACAACTGAATACAAAAACTACATGCAGAACTATAATTAATAATAATAATAATAACAATAATTACAATAATATTGATACATAGTTCTAGATGTGTAGATATTGTACTGTAGCTATTCTTTAGACATAAATTCATTTATCAATATACTTAATAATAAACTTAAGAGTAGTAAACTCAGCATACAAACTAACTATAGCATCATCATGAATTGTTTGATCATTTAACAAACAACTCATAAAAACTGATAGGAGAATTTTCAATTGAAGTAGCTCGATCACCACACAGCCTCAGCTCAAGGTAGTCATTGGTGATGCCACTAAGTACTTTATTGAACCATGGAAGGCTAGGATGAGCTGTGCAGCAATTACCTTCAAGAATACCACATCCTTCCCCATCCCACAATGGATCAGATGTGAGCATTGTGTAAAGAATAGTACCATCAGTAGAAGGATTACCAGATTCACAGAAATAGTCATCGCCAATGAAAGACTGAAGAGTTGAGTTTTGTGTACTAACTACAGAACATGGACAATTGAAAGTACCATCCTCATAACTTGGTAGGTAACTAGCTTCTAATTGTCCAGCCATAAAAGTCCAGATATGTTGATGTGGAGACCCATGTGTGATGCTGACACCATCAACATAATAGGAATTAATGTCATTGTGATTTGGTTCAGCCTGTCCATTATTAATACGTGGGTGAACAGCATCTGTTAATCCCCATTGATACCCTGTTACTCTACCACACACCTGAGAATAGCTGATACCATTAGATGGGAACTGAATTGGTATGCAACTGCCTCCACTTGATGTTGGTCTGCCACAAGCTCTAACTCCTCCAGATTGGAACAGCTGAAACCCAGAAGGACAGTTCTGTGTAGCTTCAGTCATATCCAGATATGCTAGTCTTGTCCATCCTCCTCCTGAACCACACAACTCTTCCATATTGCAATAAACATTGTATGATGTAGTACCATTAATAGTAGCTAGTATATAGGCACCTGATGGACTGTTGGGCTGTTGCTGTTTAATTTGATGGCAAGAAGTAGGTAATGCACTGGATTCATTGTGTAACTCAAGCAGTTCTTGTGCTATTAGTAGTATATCATCAACCACTCCAGCAGTAGAGGTACTAGTGTCTTGTAGATTAGAGAGAGTATTGACAATGTTAATGAGCTTTTGTGCAGAGTTTCCTGTAGTGTTTAATATTTTATCAATGTCCTTTGTATTGTTTGCTGTCAATTCTGTTTGGCTACCAATGGTTTTTTGAATATCATCAATCCTCTATACAGTGTCATCTGAAGTATTGATCAATTTACCAACTTGAGTTTCAAGGAGAAATATTTGACGTTGCACTGCATCACTCCACTCATTATAACATATACTGCAGTTTGGACCAGTTGCATTGCTTCCAACAGGACCAGAAGAGTTAGCATTACCATTTGTGTTACATAATCCTGATTGTGAGGTTGTATCCGCAGAAACTGACCAGCTACTTGCCAAATGTGCAATCAGCACTCCAAGAATAGCAAGTAATAGAACAATCACAACAACTAAACCTGCTACAATAACCAGACCGAGGGCTTTTAGTTTCGCTGATAATTCCTCGACATGCTTGCTATTGTTAGAGTCATCTTGAAATGGATATCACTGGTTTTCATTGTATTCTTGTAGCTCTGTTACCTCATAAATGTTTTGTTTGTCCATTATTGTTTATTGCAATTGGTTAACATGGTAACTAATCATGAATCCCTTCATATTATTTATTAGTTAACATCAAAATGATTTGAGAATAATTCTACAAAAAGTTAAAATAGTACACAAAGTGACTGACTACACAAAACTACATGCAGAACTATAATTAAACAATAATAGCAATAAGTGTCTGTAAATTATGACTGGGTTGATGATAATTAAACAGTTGTAGTCTCAGTGTTGACTGATATCTTCCTTGGCATTACTTCTTGTATGGTAGCATATTGAGCTCTGCTGTTACTACCACTGCTGCTCACCATACTGGCTCTCTTAGCAGCATTATGCTGTGAACTAAGGACATCTAAATCAGCATATCTGCCTGAAGAGAGTGATGATGAGGATGTCAGTGGTGGCTTATCATAAGTAGAGAATGAGGTAGAGAGTGATGAATCAGTATGTAAAGCTGCATCAAGTGTTAGAGGCTCATTAGATCTAGTACTGGAGTTTAAATTAGGCTGAGGTGTGAGGGTAATGCTATCATTATTAGCTGGCGTGGGTGAGGGTGATGGTGGCATGGTACTCTCAATTCTAGTAGGAGAGAAAGGTGGGGAATTGTAGTCAGTGGTTTCAGGAGAGGTAGAGTCATTGGGAGCTGTTGAGTTGATGAGCTCTGATGTTATGGTCATCATTGAAACATCAAGTCTTTGCTCTACAAATAGAAAAAGAATAAAATATGAATGCTCAGCTTCTTGCTATTTAGCTTTCTATGTTATTTTGTCAAAAATGACTAGGAGAAAATTCTCCATTCTTGTCATTTTTGATACATAATCATTCACTGATGTTGTGCATTTTATTATACCTGATCTAGTAAGTGAAGAGGACTTGGAATAAGAAGGACTCATTGGTGGACTCATAGCTTCAGAGCTTAGAAGATGAAGCTCTATAAGAAACAAGCAATAATTAAAGCAATAACTGATTACACAAACTATTATAATAAATGAATAAATGAATGAATGTATGCTGCTAGTGGATGTTACATACGTGATGCTTTAGATGGTGAAATGACTACATTCTTCTTTCTTTTCTTCGGAATTCCTCTTTCTTGTACTTCCATCCCTTCATCAGGTGAGCTGATCCTGTACATTCTGCCTTTATGCTTTCGACTAAAAAAGTAAGAATTAAAAGCAGTTTAATTAGTGTCTGTTCTTTTCCTTTCTAATGCACTGCTTTGCTTATTCACGTTTTTATTTAATCATTTATTATAATTTCTGTTAGAAATGACTTTTGATTTTTTTTCCAGTTTCAATTAAAATAATAGGCCAACAACATTGCATGTGAACATAATGATAAAGAGTATAATGTAGAGTCTTACTGGTTAATGTAGAACAAGATGGAGACAATTATAAGGCAAGTGAATAGGAGGATAGCAGCAATGGTAGGACTAATGACTGCTAGTACTGGAAGAGATGAAGCGCCTGGTTCAACTGGCCCAGCACTAGGAGTAGCAGCTGGAATAGGAACAAGAGAGAGAGAAAAAAGAGAAAATAATTAATAATTAAAATTTTTTTAACTCACTTAGTGTTGGTATGCTAGTAGAGGTCTGTGTGTTTGCTATAAATAAAAATAAAACAAATAAAAATTAAATTAAATTAATGTATTAATAATCTTACAGTTTCCAGAACAGTTCAGCCATACACTGGTACTTCCCTCGTAACATTCCTCTCCAGCGTAGCCCCACCCTAAATGCTGGCACTCTTGAAGACGAGTCTCGTTACCAAAGCAACGAACACCACTCAACCAAAAGAAGGAGTCTTGGGATGATGTAGACACGCCCATTGTTGAAACAGCCAGACCTTCCCCCAGATGATGACAAGCAATATCGGCAGTTGTTAAGCTCCACCCACTAGTGGTACAAACTCGCCCCCACTTCTCAGCAAAATAAACTTGTAAAATTCCCTCGGGTTTATTTCCGTTGCTTAGCAACCTGAGCCTCACGTTAGGAGGAGTGGGCGTGTCACTGCATACGGCCCCAGCCACGTGAGAGATGTCACACGAGAGCTGATTGTCATGGTAACAGTTGGAGAGGCCAGACTCAAGCCCGACACATGTTACCCTACCATAACCGAGCGATCGACTACCTGTTGAGAGAGAGAGAGAGAAATAAATCTAGTATGATTAGCAATTATTAAGTAAAAAACAAAATAACCTGGTATACATTGTGTTTACAAATAGAATCAGATACACTCCCTTACCTCTTCCAAAGGTAGTCCCAATGGTGGCTCCTATGGCATATCCATACCCTAACTGACGGCAAACCACACGAGCACTAGCCAGGCTCCACCCATCATCACACACACGCCCCCACATCGCATTATCTGGTAAGTGGATTTCAACTCGTCCCGCCCACTCTACGTTACCACCCACGAGACGTATTCGAACTGGAGAACTCACAACTAAAAAATAAAATTAAAATAATGAAATTATTTAAAAATTATTCTTACCGGTTTGACAGGAGACAGCAACATCTTGAGTGCTGTCACATGATTGGTCGTAAGTGCCGGGTGCCAGGAGGGTGTGGCCACATTGCAGGAGGGAGGACTCCAGGCCAGTGCACTGTAGGGTATCAATCAAAATAGGACGATAACCAAAACCAAACTGAGAACTAGAAATCCTTGATGCACCTGAAATAAGAAGAGAATAAATGAACTTTAAATCACGTAGAGTACATGTACTTCTGCCAATTAAAACTTTATTATATGATATTAAATGCATTAAAATTGACGTTAGAATTTTTAAAAATTATTTTGCTATCAATGCACTAAAATTATTAAAATAAATGCAAACTAAATAGTGCCAACCTTCAACTCTGAATCCTAACTGACGACACACCAGAGCAGCCTCCTCATAGCCCCACCCACCAATGCAGACCCGCCCCCATTCTCCGCCAACACATATCTCTAATCGTCCCTGACTCTGTCCTTCAAGTATCATCCCGTTTTTAGTGAGTCTTACATCACCATCGGCACATAAGAACGTCTGAGATACTGAGGAACCTACAAATCGTAATAAAAATGAATAAATATACTCATTGCATCATAGCATAGCTGGTGATCTTGGAGGGGTAAAATTTGGCAAAATGATAAGATAATTTTTAGCTTTAATTTATGCTGGAGATAGCTCATTTTAATTTCGCAAACAACTATCAAAATTCATTCAAAATCACCAGCTGTATACAGTAGGCTTTTTTCCATCTCTTACTTGATGAGCAGACCACACTGGCATCATTAGAGTGTGAGTTACAGGCACTGCTAGTGCTGCCAGTATTATTTGGACAAAATGACAAACTAGCTTCATTACCAGTACAATCTACACCAGACCATACTATAATAGAAAAATGGCGATTAATGTTATATTACTAGTACTTTAGTATTAAAAAATTGATTTTACTCTACACACATACACAATACCTGCTCCTTCTCCTTTACCAAACCAAGAACCTGCTAATGTCCGGCTGGCCCTTGGGTATCCAAGTACACGACAGATAACCTCAGCGTCTGGTAGACCCCATCCTTCATCACAGACGCTGCTTGAAACTCCATTACGAAGTATCTCAACTCGTCCTTCATTGGAGGAAACACCACCGACTAGCCTCACTGAATCCATTGTAACTGAAAATAGAACGTGTACAATAGTTAGCAATTTTATAATTAGAAGTGTTAGGAGCTTTTCAAAATAAAGCTGATTTTTTGGTAATTATAAAATAGAATCACTGCCAAGACCCAGCTAAAATCTTCATCGTCTTACCTATACATTCTGCACCGGCAAATGAAGAACAGTCCTTAGTTACATTCCATTCATTGATGATACAGTGAGAGAGTCGTGTCTCATTTCCAGTACAATTAACACCATCAATCAAAGCACCTGGCTGGATTTCATATTCACTAGTAGTATAAGCACTGCTAGCCCCTGGTATATTAGGAAAATAATTAAGAATTAATAACGTAGATCATTATTTTCTTATGGGAGAAGCATAAGATAATTATAATAGTAATATAAAATTAGATATTATTATTATTGTCTTTACCAGTATATCCTAGCTCTCTGCATACAACATTAGCCTCAGGTAAACTCCAATCATTATTAGTTACACATACATAGCTCCATTGGTCTCCATAAAGTACCTCAACAATACCTGATCTGATATCAGTCAGTCTTGCTCTAACAGAATCAAGACGTATGCCTACAGGAAACAATGACAATAGTAACAACAAGTAATAGAGAATTATCTGAAAAATGGCTCCGGAATCATCCCAAATCTTTATTACATTTTCTGATACATATTGATGTACTTACGCTGTGTAGCAAGTTTGAGGTGATTTTGGCTTAAATTTTTCAAGTTATGACCATTTTTTAAAAATGGCTAAAATCTGAAAAAATCCCTGTACTATAGCCCATGGCTTTTTCCAAAAAATGGCCAAAAAATCACACCCAATTTTTATTACATTTTCTAATACATATTGATGTACTTATGCTGTGTAGCAAGTTTGAGGTGATTTCGGCTTAAATTTTTCAAGTTACGGCCATTTTTTAAAATAGGCCAAAATCTGAAAAAATCCCTGTACTATAATGGTTTTTTCCAAAAAATGGCCAAAAAATCACCCCCAATTTTTATTACATTTTCTGATACATATTGATGTACTAATGCTGTGTAGCGAGTTTGAGCTAATTCCGACTTCAATTTTTCAAGTTACGGCCATTTTAAAAAATAGGCCAAAATCTGAAAAAATCCCTGTACTATAGCCCATGGTTTTTTCCGAAAAATGGTCAAAAAATCACACCCAATTTTTATTACATTTTCTAATACATATTGATGTACTTATGCTGTGTAGCAAGTTTGAGCTGATTCCGACTTAAATTTTAAAGTTATGGCCATTTTTTAAAATAGGCCAAAATCAGAAAAATTCCCTGTACTATATAGCCTATGGTTTTTTCCGAAAAATGGCCAAAAAATCACCCCCAATTTTTATTACATTTTCTGATACATATTGATGTACTTATGCTGTGTAGCAAGTTTGAGCTGATTTTGGCTTTAATTTTTTAAGTTACAACCATTTTTTAAAATAGGCCAATTTCTGAAAAAATCCCTGTACTATAGCCCATGGTTTTTTCCAAAAAATGGCCAAAAAATCACCCCCAATTTTTATTACATTTTCTGATACATATTGATGTACTAATGCTGTGTAGCGAGTTTGAGCTAATTCCGACTTCAATTTTTCAAGTTACGGCCATTTTAAAAAATAGGCCAAAATCTGAAAAAATCCCTGTACTATAGCCCATGGTTTTTTCCGAAAAATGGTCAAAAAATCACACCCAATTTTTATTACATTTTCTAATACATATTGATGTACTTATGCTGTGTAGCAAGTTTGAGCTGATTCCGACTTAAATTTTAAAGTTATGGCCATTTTTTAAAATAGGCCAAAATCAGAAAAATTCCCTGTACTATAGCCTATGGTTTTTTCCGAAAAATGGCCAAAAAATCACCCCCAATTTTTATTACATTTTCTGATACATATTGATGTACTTATGCTGTGTAGCAAGTTTGAGCTGATTTTGGCTTTAATTTTTTAAGTTACAACCATTTTTTAAAATAGGCCAATTTCTGAAAAAATCCCTGTACTATAGCCCATGGTTTTTTCCAAAAAATGGCCAAAAAATCACCCCCAATTTTTATTACATTTTCTGATGCATATTGATGTGCTTATGTTGTGTAGCAAGTTTGAGCTGGTTCAGACTTAAATTTTTAAAGTTACCGCCATTTTTTAAAATAGGCCAATTTCTGAAAAAATCCCTGTACTATATAGCCCGTGGTTTTTTCCAAAAAATGGCCAAAAATCACCCCAATTTTTATTACATTTTCTGATGTATATCAATGTACTTATGCTGTGTAGAAAGTTTGAGCTGATTCAGACTTAAATTTTTAAAGTTACCGCCATTTTAAAAATAGGCCAAAATCTGAAAAAATCCCTGTACTATATAGCCTATGGTTTTTTCCAAAAAATGGTCAATGATCACCCCAATTTTTATTACATTTTCTGATACATATTGGTGTACTTATGCTGTGTAGCAAGTTTGAGCTGATTCCGACTAAAACTTTTTGAGTTACATGTACAAGTATTTTTGTAAAATAATGCTGGGCTTAATAATAAAAATTATAGTATAAATATCTCTTACTACTGCATTCAATTGAAACATCTTCAGCATGCTCACAGCCAGCAGTTTCAGTTGTATGAGGACAATCAAATATGCTCCTCTCGTTACCATTGCATTGAACATCATCAAGATGAATGGGATCAGTGATGCTAAACTCATTAGGGTAAAGTCCATCAGATTCACTAAAAAATAAAATATTACCTTTAAAATTAAGTTTCCTTTTAATTGTGCATAATAATAATAATAATAATAATACAGTACATCATATTTTAGTGGTTATTGGCTCTACTAAACTTAGTGCTTTTCTTTAATCATTATCGCTTTAATTTATATCTTTAATGATAAACTTTTACTTACCCAAAGATTTGGGTAGGTCCAGCATATCCAATACTCCGGCATACAACTTTACCAATTACAGGCTTTGTGAAAATGAAATCATCACAGACAGTACCCCAAGTACTGCCGTCATAAACAAAAAGCTTTCCCTTGTATCCTGACAGGCTGACATCAACAAGACGAGTTGAATTAGGAGGAGTTGGGATTTGAGGAGCAACTATAATTGAACAAGTTTATTATGATGATAATGACAGATAATTAGCAGAATCATAATTGCTGATTGATTTATCTGTTTCGTCTCTTTCTTTCTCTCTATGCTTCTCCATATTTCCCCTTTCTCTCTCTCTCTTCCTTACCATCACAGATGACATTAGCAGGCCCAACTTTACACTCCCCTTCACTGATCAGTGTTGATACTGTAGTAGGACAGTCTATGAGGCTCCCCTCAGTTCCGATGCAGTTCAAACCAGATAACAAAACCAGTTCATCAGGTAAGAAACTGGAATAGTGTTCAGAGCCATTAAAAGCCTATTAAATAGCATTATAATTATAATTTTAAATAATGACTGTCGTACAATCAAGCTCCTGGAGTATCCCAACTGTCTACAGACTACATTTCCATTGGTTGCTCTAAACTTATCTCCACAAACCCCAGCCCACGTCCCATTCATTAACACTTGGATACGTCCTTTGTAAGGAACACCACCGGATATCAGTCGAATGGAGAGATTTGAACTTTTAGGTTCTAAAAAATTTAAATTATAAAATATAATGAGCCATTAAAAGACTATGATTCATCACTGCATGACTTTCATAACTTACCAGTGCATTCTACAGCAACATCAAATGAATGGGTACAACCAGAACCAACATCACCCCACCCTCTCTCAATTAGACACTGTCCTATAGAACTCTCAGTCCCTTCACAATTAACACCACTTAACCATATCGGACTGTCTGACACTGGTTCGAGAGAGAAAAGTACAGAGAGACCAGTCCTAACGGCACTAGGGTATCCTAACTGACGACACGCTACATGTGCATCATTGATGTCCCAGCCATTGGAGCACACAGAACCCCATGATCCATTGTATAGTACTTGTACAGTACCAGTAGAAGGAGAGGAGGAGGGGTTTAGTCTGACTGTAGTAACAACTGGATGAGATACATCTGTATATGTGATGTAATGAGAGGGAGAGATAGGGGAGATAATTTAAAGTAATTTTAAAGATTTGTGTAGATCAATGTACTGTAAATAAAAAGGTGTAGCTTTGTAAAAAAAATATAAAATATTTTAGGGCAAATTCGATGGATTTGCAACCCACAAAAATTTAAATACATTCTCCCACTTACCAGTACAGATAGCACTAGCGACATTAGTCACTGAACACTCAAGGTTTCCAAAGGTATGGTCACAGTTCTTCAACAAGGACTCTTCCCCAGAACACTGAACATTATCCATTATGCTCAATTCGTCAGGTCTCCTAATACCATATAAGGAAGACGTGGGAACATTGAGGGCGTCTCCATATCCTAACTGACGACAGACCACGCGAGCATCACGGAAACCCCACCCACTTCCACAGACTGACTTCCAACCATTGTAATACACCTGGACACGCCCCTCATTAGGACTAGCCCCACCTACCAACCTAACTGAGAACTGATTCGGATCTAAAAATTAAAAGAAAGATAATGGCAATGTATTTTATAGCAAAATTGCGAAAAAAGGTCCCAAACTAAAGCACTATAATACAATATTCTCTCCTACTATTGATATCCCTTACCTTTATAATTGCAATCAACAGCTCCAACAGGAGATGAGACAGAGCAAGAGTGGGTCCCTATCTCATCATGATGGCACTCACTGAACCTCTCCTCTCCTCCGCTACACTGTACATTATCCAGCCAGACTGTATCACTGGGCTCAGGTCTGTATGCAGTGAATGAGACTGAACTGTAACCAACTGGTGGAGGATATAGTCCTAACTGATTGCATATCACCTAGTGAAAGGATTTATTAACAATTAAGGTACAATGAATATTATAAAGAAAATAATTATTTTTAATTTTAGAGTAATTAAGAATAAAATAAACAAATCAACAATAGCTTACTTTAGCTTCAAAATCCCCCCAATAGTTTCCACACACGTAACCCCAGCGTCCCGAATATTGAACCTGCACCAGACCCTTCGTCTCACTATCACTGCCAATCAATCTCAAGTTCATTTCGCTGTTACCATGGTTACTGCAGACAGCGCCCACATAATTACTCCCGTTGCAACGAGCCCGAGCATAGCCCCACCCTTTGAACGGACAGTCAACGAATCGGCTTTCAGCTCCGGTACATTTTACAACATCCATCAACACCAGACCCCTCACGGGGGGCGTTGATAATGTATATGATGACTCAGCACTTCCAAATCCTAACTGCTTGCATGCAACGTGTGAATTATGAAGCGACCAATCAGAATCACACACAAAACCCCACCCACCACTGTAGTATACCTGAAGGAGACCACTATTGTCATTCTGACGATTGTAGAGTTTTAGGTCAAAGTTTTCGTTTTTGCACGACACAAACATGCTTTTACATGTGGTCTGGTGGGTGTGGTGACCCCACCCATCAAAATAACAGTCTTGCAAGTGATTCTCGTTCCCAATGCATTGGACGTTATCCATCCAAATAGGGTCCAAGTTTGAATATGAAACATCCAATATTTTCAGACCCTTTGCTCGACTGTACCCCAGCCCCCTACAGACTATATTAGCGTCTCTTATTGTCCAGTGGGAGGAGCATACACGCCCCCATACTCCACCATATCGTATACTGATGATACCATTACTAGCAGAGGTACCATTGGCTAGTCTAGTTGCTATTGGCAATGAAGAAGGATCGCTATTGGAGCAAGATAGAGTAGCGTATCCTTCGTGTGATGAGCAGTTAAAAGAGCCCCACCCATAGATGCACTGAGATAAACTGGACTCATTTCCTTGACAGTGTATTTTAGATAACCAGACAGTTGGAGGATTCGGTGAGACGTTTGGTCGATGAGGAGAAGATCCAATAGAATACACTGATTCATAACCTATCGTTATAATAAATGGATGGATTAAACTACTGTTAATTCTCATTAGGTTATAATATTATTACCTAGTTCTTTGCATGCAACAGTAGCATCCCTGTAATCCCAACCATCATAACACACTAGTCCCCATTCACCATTATACTGCACTGATACAACACCACCACTGAGCTGAACTGATATTGATACAGCCCCTGTAGAATCTATAGAAAAAGAACCAAATAAAATCCCATGTCAGAAACTCCTCCTTTCTCTTACTTGTGCATACCACTCCAGCGTCATTACGGTGAGTACAGGAACTAACCAGACCCCATCCTGTATGGCCACACTTCTCAAGTGATGTCTCGTCACCACGGCATCGCACAAAATCCATCCAGATCGGTCCCCAAGTTTGTCCGAACTCGGAAGCAAACGAAGGCCTTACTGCTCTCCCCCATCCCATTTCTCTACATACGACAGTAGCAGCGTTAAGATCCCATTGGGTATCACAGACAGTACCCCATAATCCATTATACTGGACTTCAACTCTACCTCTACCTGATGTAATGAAAGAGTTCTGGTTGCCTCTCACACGAATCTTAAACTCTGTAGAAGCTGTTGGAAAAAAATTATTAATTCATACATGATAATTTCCATTCTATATCGTTATTTTTATTATAAATTTACATTTAAATTCTGTTAAATTCTCATTAATTACAAGTAGCTATGTCTCCTTTTCTCCCTTAAATTCCACAATCATTATTTCATTTCTTATTCCCCCATACCTTGACACTGTAGTATCATATCTTGAAAATGTCCCGAGCAACCATCACTCAATCTACCAACTGGCAAGTGAGAGCAATCGATCAACCTGCTCTCGTTTCCACGGCAACTGACTCCGCCCAACCATATGACACCTTGCCTCTTTTCATAAAACTCATCATAAGGTAATACCCTCCCTTCAGTGGGTGAGTACCCTAACTGACGGCAGGACACAGATGCTATTGAAGAGGAGGAGGATCCTGTGGAGTCACCGCAGACCGTACCCCAGTGACCTCGGTAACACATTTCTAGTCGTCCAATCAGATCACTGGCTCCGCCCACTAACCTGAGACTAAAATCAGTGCATGACTCTGAACCTAACAAAAATATTTATGAAATTAAAAAGAAAAAAAATTGATTTAAATTTTTGACCGATGAAAAACTTACCTTGACATACAACTGCTACATCATTATCATGACCACACCCACTAACATTACTTGCAAACAAGCAGTCCCTGAAATGACTCTCGTTCCCTTTACAGCTGATTCTGGAAATCTTGATAGGACCACCTCCTCTACCAAAACTACGATAATCTACAGTAATGGGGAGTGGCTCCACGGAATATCCAAGGTCTCTACAAACAGTTTTTGAGTCTTCTACGGACCAGTCAAGGTTACAGACCGATCCCCAGGAACTTCCATTGTATACTTCAAGTCTTCCGGCACCAGCCCCTCCCACTAATCTGATGGGTCTCAACCCATTTGGAGACCTTGTTGCTATAAAAAGGAGAGAAATAAATAATAATAATAATCAAGAGAAGGAAAATGAAAGAGAAAGGGACATGAAGATACATGTACACACAGCACTGGGAAACTCCAGGTATGTAACATGTATAAATACATGTACATCTTACTTGTAATATAAACATTACATCAAATTTATTTGCATCGCTAAACTCATTTTTACTATTTTTACAAAATATACTTAAGATTTCTAAGATAAACAAGAATCATCATGAAATGCAAACACATAAATGTATAAATACATTTATGTACATGTACATGCAACATTACAATACAAGATATATTAGTTCAATATGAATGATTGTGTGAACGGTTCACATAAAAACTGTCAAAAAGAGGAAAACTCACTGCATCTGATCCCCACTGACGTGCAATCCTCAAATCCATTGACAGTATTAACTTTAAAGCCACACTGAGAGAGACTATCCTCAGTACCATTACACTGAACATCACTCAACAAGAATATACCATCACTCCCAAACACACTCTCCTCCACTATCTCTTCCACTCCTTTGTATCCTAGCTGAGAGCATACCACGTACGCGTCGTTGCTGTCAAAGTTCTTATGGCAGACTGGGGTCCAGCGAGAAGAGACAAAAACCTCAAGACGGCCCTCGGATGAGTTGAAGCCTCCGGAGAGTCTTACGGGATAGTTGTGAGCTAATAAAGAGAGGGCAAGGAATTAATATTATTTTGCTATTA